GCCACCAGGGAAGCTCTGCTACATTATTTTTTGATCGTTGGTTTTTTCTTATTAATTTCTAGGAGTTCTGTGTGTAATATGGAGATTTGTTCTTTGTGATATTTTTTCCATTTTGTCGTTTGTCTTTTAACATTACTTTTTGTCATGCAGATGTTCTTCTTCCTTGAGTTCGATGATATTTCTATGGCTTCTAGATTTTGAGTCATAGCTAGGATGGTTTTGCAGTTTGGTGATTAAAGAGGGCTCAGGATAACATGAGAGAAGGACTTGCATGAGAAGGTATGGGGAAGAGAAAGAAGCACAGTGATGTAAGCCCAGGTCTAGGCAGGGGTGATACTTGACGGCAGCAATGACTTTTATGTAAATTAACTAGACTTGATTTTTGAAAACACTGAATCCATGTTTTATATTTATTCTTATGATATCCTAACGTTATTTGTTAGTATTTCATCCATAACTCTTGGCTTTGATATCTCACTAGTTAGTGTTTTCTATGACTATTTCTTATTAATCAGAAGATATTGGAGAACTACTATATAATTTTAAAGGATTAATTTTAAACCACATTTTTGACCTTGCTTAGATCATGTTCAAACAACCTACTGTAAAAGAACATTTCAGGGACAGTTGGTATAATTTGAAAGTGGACTGGGTATTAGTTTGGATTAAGACCCATTATTTTGTTAGGCAAGATAATGCCGTGGTGGTTGTTATTTTTTAAATAGACTGTATTAGTTAGAGATGTATGCTGACATACTTATGGGTAAAATGTTATAAGGGATTTGCTTTACAACATTTCAGGAAAAAGAGTGGCGGGTGGGCAGGCGGAGAGGGTATAGATGTAACCATATTGATAAAATATTGTTGAAACTAAGTGGTGGATAATGGGGTCTATTATTCTCTTCTTTCTACTTTATGTTTGAAATTTTCCATATTGAAAAGTTTAAAAAGACTAAATATAAAATTAACATAGAGTTATTGCAGAAAACTGAAAAATGGACAAAGACTAATGGGAAGAAAAGAACGTTGGGCTTCCCTGGTGGCGCAGTGGTTGGGAGTCCGCCTGCCGATGCAGGGGACACGGGTTCGTGCCCCGGTCCGGGAAGATCCCACATGCCGCAGAGCGGCTGGGCCCGTGAGCCATGGCCGCTGAGCCTGCACTCCGCAATGGGAGAGGCCATGACAGTGAGAGGCCCACGTACTGCAAAAAAAAAAAAAAAAAGAACACAATCCCACTAGCCAGACATATCTGCTGTTAACATTTATATCCTTCTGGTCTTTTTACCAGGTATAAATGTGTGCATACACATTAATTAAAAAAAAAAAAAAGAATGTTGAAGTCGTTCAGTATCTAAATTTTCTAACCAAAAGGTACGTTAACGTTTCACTGATCGTGACTAATGATAGTCCTCGTCGTCATTTTGCTGGTTCCGTAGCATCTCAGTATACAGACGGATTACAGGTTATTCAGTTGTTTCACTGTTATTGGGCTTTTAAGGGGTTTCTTATTTTTCACCACCGTGAACATGAGTATCCTTACGGGTAAATGATTGTTCATATCCACATACAGATCTTTAGGCCTCGTTCCTAGAAATGGAATCATTGGGTTTCAGGGTATATACAGGGTACAATTGGATACAGATTTCAAGTGACCCTTCAGAAAGGTGGTACCATGTTGTACCTGCACCAGCAGCAAGTGGGAATGCCTGTTCTTCTGTACTTGCAAGGCCAGAAGACAGACTGGTGCAGAGCAGTAACGAGTACACAGGAGTGATGAAGTGTAATTGCTGTACAGGGGCATCTCTGATACTTACATTGGGTGCATTATTGCCTGCTGTGGTGGGGAAGGGAGGGTTAGTTGCGGTGGGCATCAGCATGGACACATAGCTTATGTTGTATCAGTGAAGGGGCTGCGGGCTTACCTAACACCCCAGTGTCTCTGGTCCTTCAGGGGAATCCTTGATCTGGCCCGTGGCTTCAGGTCAGTAGCGCACATTGTGCCGGTTACTCTCTCATTTCTACATTGTCATGTCTCTTGGGCACTTTCCATAGATACCTGGGCTCTGTTCCTTAATCCATGTATCTGTGTAGGTAAGATCACCAGGAAGGCCTCCTCCTGAATCATCTTTGAAGCCCAGCTTATCTTCCAACGCTTCTCAGGCTTGTTTCAGTACCTTTGGGTTTATCTTGGTGTTACACTTTGATAATCAATCTTGTTTATTGCAAAATCTATATCGTGTTTAAAATTTGAGGCTTTCATAAAACGGTTGCTTAACATTTATCCGGGAACTACCAATTTATATTTATGTCTGAGTTCGTGTTCTGTATTCCATATGATTGCCTTGTTCTGTCCCATCAGCCAGTGGTATAGGCTGTCAGAGGACAGGATCCTGAAACTAGCTTTTTGTGTAAGAGACCCTAACTTAATAGTGAGCTGTTCTTTAGAATCTTGGTTCAAGTATAGAGTTTAATGTAGTCAAACAGGTAAGACAGTTAATTCAGAAGCAAATCAACAAGGAACCTAGAAAATAGTAGCCAAAACATAGTATTAGAAATACAATAAAGTGCTTCCCACAGTTCTTTTTAAGGAAATTAGGTCCTAATGAAAACAGCTTTGAACTTAATTGTCTATCTGTTATTTTGTAGTAATCAAGCTTTCATCCCTTTGACACATCCCTGAAGGGTGTCTGAAGTCAGCCATCAGAATTGTCAGACACAGCTTAGCCCCCATGGATTTCCCATCTAGCATGTGAACGTTTGTAAGAGTGAAAGAAATGATTATAAGCACACATACCCCCAAGGTCATTTGTTATTACATCACACGACTGCCTCCTTTTGCAAAGCTTAAAACAAAATGTATAGGAACCCCCAAATTAGAGAGCTATCACTCAGAGGAGAGTTTATTTTTGTAATCTTTTTTTGGGTGTAGTTGATGATTCTTTTTTTCTTTTTAAAAATGTAAATTTGGGACTTCCCTGGTGGCGCAGTGGTTAAGAATCTGCCTGCCAATGCAGGGGACATGGGTTCAAGCCCTGGTCTGGGAAGATCCCACATGCTGCAGAGCAACTAAGCCCCTGTGCCACAACTACTGAGCCTGTGCTCTAGAGCCCGCGAGCCACAACTACTGAGCCCATGCGCCACAACTGCTGAAGCCCGCGTGCCTAGAGCCTGTGCTCCGCAACAAGAGAGGCCACCGCAATGAGAAGCCCGCACAACGCAAGGAAGAGTAGCCCCGGCTCAACGCAACTAGAGAAAGCTCGTGCGCAGCAACGAAGACCCAATGCAGCCAAAAATAAATTAATTAATTTTTTAAAAAAATGTAAATTTGCCCTAAGTTCTCTTCCGGGGCTTGGCCTGAATCTTCCCCATTTACCCACTGTTTCCAAACCCTCCCTGTGCACCTGGCTAGACTCTGCCCCGTGTGCTAGGGAGGAAGGAACCTAGTGTTCTGTGAGGGACTGAGATATATGAAGCCCATTTTCTGCTTAACTCCATTTACACCTCAAAATGATATCGCGGTGTTACTAGTATCTGTGTTTTTAAGGAGGGGAAAAAAAGCAGATTTTGCAAAGTTCAGTAGCTTGACCGAGATCTCACAGGGAAGAAGTGGCAGCCGTGGCCTTGACATGAGGAGCTGTACGTCCCCCTGGAGCAGAGATGTTTGGCGAGCAACTGGGTACCGGTTGGATTGTGCAAATCTTGAATCTGAGTTTGTGTCAGTGTTTGGAGGAAGCCGGCAGTGGCAGGTTGGGGGCATCATTGCCTTTCAGCCATCATTGTACCAGGGCCAACCGTCATTGGCGATGCCTCCCCTTGCTCAGTAAAGCTGTATTTTGATTCTTTTTCAGTGTAAGAGAATAGAAATTATAGGGTTCTAAAGAAATTTAAATGGACTAAAAAGGTTTTAGTGCCTTTTATTTCTCCCTGTATTAGTTTCCTAACGCTGCTCTAACAAAGTACCAAAAACTAGGTGACTGAGAACAACAGAAATGTATTATCTTACAGTTCTGGAGGCTAGAAGTCTAAAATCAAGGTGTCAGCAGGCTTGGCTTCTCCCCAGGGCTCCGAGAGAGAATCTGTTCATTGCCTCTCTCCTACCTTCTGCAGTCTTTGCTCTTCCCTGGCTTGTAGATGCGCCACTCTGATCTCTGCCTTCATTTTCACATGATGTTCTTGTGTGTGTGTGTGTGTGTGTGTGTGCGCGCGCATGCACGCGCACGTCGAAATTTCCCCTTTTCACAAAGACACCAGTGATACTGGATTATGGCCTCATTTAAAATTCAGCCCATTGTGCTGTCAGTAATCATAGTGCCAATATGGTACCCACGGTCCTCCTGTGCTTGACCTGAAGACAGGATTGGATTCTCCATTGCCCAGATGCTCCAAGGCCTCCATGTTGCTTTCTTGATTTGGGGGTTAGTTGACAGAACTACCCACAGCCGAGTCTCTGCCACCCGAGCAGACTAGGTTGGGGAATAAAAGAGATTCTGAGCTTTTTATTACTTTATTACTTGGTGCAAAAATTATAAGCCCTTCGTGACATCCAGTCATTGTTTTCCGTTATTTGAGACATTGAGGGGTACTCTTCCGTCTTATTCTTTTGTATCAGCAAAGCAAGAACACGAGCATGCTTTCTCAACAAAGAGCAGCTTTCAAGCAGGGAATTCATGGTCTTCCAAGTTACCCCTTCTCTGGGAAGCATCCTTTGCTCGAGAACCATAGACATTAGTTACAGACTGTTAATTCCTCCTCTTTCCCAGGAGGAGGAGATTGCGTCCACAGCACTGTTGGGGAGTTTCAGAGCCTACGTTAGAGTTTTTCATAAGGAGCTTCTGTAACACCAAAGGAGGCGTTCTAGGCGACCTCAAGAAGGGGGTCTTTTAGTTTATCTAGGCCTTTGCCCTCCCCACCCCCACCAAAGTAGTACTTCCCTTGGGGCCAGGGGGTGAGTGGCAGGTCTGTGGGAAGAGCCATTCTTACTGTGCGTGTGTGTCGTGCAGACACCAGCTGGAGACACCGGGACATTACTCTCGTCTGGCTGCATTCTACGAGGACAAGAAGGGGGTGCTCCATGCCAGTCCGGGGAGAGGTGGCAGCCTGCCCCCTGTCTACTGGCTGCCTTCCATCCACCGGTACATGTACCCCGAGATGAAGGTAGGTCAGCCCCGGACTTAGGTCTGGGGACAGCAGTTGTTGATTATTGTTTTCATGAATAAGGAAATTGTGTCTTGGGCTGATGCCCAAAGTCTGCTTTTGATAGAATAGGATTGTAACCTAAGCATTTGATGCTTTTAAAACATAAAGCAAGTTATCTTAAACTAACATGCTTTCTAATACTTCTGTAATCATGGTGCAGAGCCGTACTGATAGGCCAGCAGTGGTGGACTCCTGGTTCTAGCGATTGCCTCAGGTAGTTTAAAGGCAGACATTTGAACTAAAGATGAAGCGTTTGCGCAGTTAAGATATTTCTTAGTTACAGTAGTTTCGGTATTCCTTTATTGTGTATTTTCGTCCTGAAGTACTTTGTAAATACTAGAATGTGTTTATTTACCATTAACGAAACACCCAGCCAAGTGTTAGGCGTTGGGAGGGTACAAAGATCACCCCTCCTCCTTCTTTTTCCCCCATCCCCCCATCTCCATCCTGCACTTCCCCCTTCCCATCTCCCGCCACCTACAGGTGGTCACAAGATACTTCAGTGGAAATTTCAGGCTCCCTGGTAGAGAAATTATGCCATGAGTTCTAGAGAACTCTGGGAAGGCATCTTGCAAGAGGAGTTGGTCCTTGAAGTATTTGTCTGGGGGAAAGTGAGGGGAGCTAATTCCAGACTGAGGGAAGGCATGAGCGACAGTGGGGACCACGGTCCGTCACTTTGTCAGCACCTTCTGTGAGTTAGACATTCTGCTAGCTATTTATCAGTACCTGCTGCAGCACTCTTTAAAGTAGATTTTTTTTTTTTAAATCCATGTTTTACAGATAAACCAGTTGAGGTTTATAAAGGTTCAGTGACTTGGTTAAGGCCTTATAGCTAGTAGGAGATAGAGCCAGGATGTAAACACAGGCCTGATGCCAAGGCCAGCGCTCACTTAGCCCACTCCACTGCCTTTGTGAGGTCGTGGGCGTGAGAAAGCCCAGGGCAAGTTCGTGGGATGTGAGCAGAATGGTTTGACTGGGATTGAATTTCAATGTCAGCCGGCCAGGAGAGAAAGGATTGGAAAAATAGGTTGGAATCAGATTGTAGAGAATCTTAAATACTAGACCATGGAATATGAACCTGAATGAGTACCAGTTAGGGTCTTGTTAGGAAAACACAAACTATGTCAGATATTTCGAACTAATTCAATACAGGGAATTGGTAATACAGGAATTGGAAAACCAGAGGCACGGAAAGGTAACAAGATAACCTAAACACTAGAGATACAGACAGCGGCACCACCCTATATTAGTTATCTGTTGCTGCATCACAGATTGCCCCCAAATTAATGGTTTAAAACAGTACATATTTGTTTCTGTGAGTCAGGGATCCAGGCGTGGCTTAGCTGGGTCCCCTCTTCATGGTCTCTCATGAGATTGCAGTCAAGGTTGGGGTCTTATCTGAAGGCTTGACTGGGGAAATAGCCACTTCTGAGCTCACGTGGTTGTTGGGAGGATTGAGTTCCTTGAGGGCTGTTGGACTGAGCGCCTTGCGGACTGTTTGTTGCCCCCAGTGGGTCTCTCCGCAACATGATGGCTTGCTTCATCAAAGCCAACAAGTGAAAAAGACTGTTGGCGAGATGGAAGTCATAATCCTTTGTACCTAACCGTGGAAAGTCACAGCCCTGCAATGTTGCCGTATTCTCGTGGTTAAAAGCAAGTTCCTCAAGAGGAAGAGGGGGTTGCATAAGGCCATAAACACCAATAGGTGGGGACATCCCTGGGGGTTTGGAGGCTGCCTGCCACGTGCTCCCTGCCACGTGCTCCCTCTTTGGAGTAACAAAGAGGGAAAAGTGACGTTATCAAAACCACAGGAGCTGGAGAAGGGGCGCTGCACAGCTGGCGCTCAGACCGCTGGCACTGTGCACCTGCGACGTGTTAAGACATTTTAAGTATACAGTTTGGTGAATTTTTTACAAAGCGAACACATACATAAAGAAAAATTTTAAATAAGCTTATAAAGTAGAGGTCAGATTTAAGACTGTTACAGAGGGAAAAAAAAAAAAAACCTGGAAAGTGAGAGGAAGGCAGGATCGCAGTCTCTCTGAGGCCCAATGGTGGCTGGTCAATGTTCCCCCAGGGAAATGGGAAAGTGGGAGAGAGAAATGGGGGGAGTGAGCCGCAGGAGCAGATGCATTTCCTAGGGGGCTGCAGGTGAAACGTGAGGGATGAAGCATGAACCCCGAGGGGCTTGCCAGCAATGGTGAAAGAACAGGAAGTGGAGAGCGTACCTGGCATGAAAGGGCAGAGGGAAGACAGGTGGGAACTGGGCAAGTCAGGAGAAGCAGCTGCAAGGCCACGAGGAGGGAAACGGCTTGGAGCAAAAGCAGGAGAAATGTGGGTGGCGCCGTGCAGCTGGGCCGGAGATGGGTCGAGGCGCCGTCTGCGGGGCCGCCTCTCTCCGAAGTGAGGAGGACCGCTCGCCGGGCCCAGGAGGGGCAGCCTCCGCACGCCCTCCTGCAGTCCCCCGCCCTCCCGCCATCGTGGCTCGCATCAGCCTGGCCTTTAAGGGCTTGGCCTCCCGCCTCTGCCGCCAGCCTGTACCCTGTGCCAGGGCAGGGCCTGGCCTCCTGTTCATCGTGGGAGCCAGACTGCTTAGCTCAGGGCACAAAGCGAGCACGTGGGAAGTGCTTCTTGCCAGAAGGTACACGTGTCCATGAATGAATGAATAAATAAGTACAGGCAGAATTGAGGACTGCTGGTTTACTCTAGGATTCTAGGGCTCAGGACACATTTGGACAAAACCCTGCCAGACCTTCGTGCAGGAGAGGCACACGTTTAGGGCGTGAAGATAAGCAGAGTGGGCGCTGAGAAGAACCTGAGGGGCTTTGGCTCTGTTCTGTCTGGTTGGCGGGTGGAGGCCGGCGGGGGCTGAGCGGAAGAGTCAGGAGAAGGGAGGGAAGCAGAGGATGCGCGATTTCACGAGAGCGACTGGACGCAGTGCGCAGCCGTGGTCGCGCGCTGCCCCTCCTCCCGGAGAGCTGGGACGTGGTGGCAAAGGAGTGGCAGAGGGCAGGCGGGGCCCCTCGGGGGACAGCCCTTCCGCAGGCACGGGGCGGGGGGTGGCTGTGGTGCGGGGCGATGCCTTGGGTGGGGAAGCCCTCTCCCGGGTGGTCCGGAGGAGGGGGCCTGGCGGAGCGCTGCGGCCACCCCGGGGCTCGGGTGGCGGGTGCCCCAGGGGGCTGGCAGGTGTCACACCCAGCGCGCGGCCTTGGTGCCGGTGGCACCTGCCTCCAGAAGTGCTCTCACCTGCGTCCCGAACGGGTGAAGAGCAGTGTCCCTTCTGACGCTTTAGCATGAAAGTGACCTTCCAGAAGGCTCACAGAGCACCTGGCTTGAAGCCTCACGTCTCGTCGGCGACAGTTGTGGCTGCTGCATGTGGCTTTTCCCACGTGCTAAGGGTTCCACACGGTTTTTCTCAAATGGTCCTTCTAGCCAGATGAAGGATGTGACAGTGGTCTCCCGATTTTACAGATGAGGAAAGAGAGCCCGAAATGTTGGCTGGCTTTCCCGAGGCTTCCCTGTGAGTAGAGGGCAGAGCAGGACAGGCCCCCAGCTTTCCCTGGGTCAGAGCTCGAGCTCCTGACGCCGGGATGTGCCTTGGCGGCAGGGTCCCGGGAGGCGACCCTCAGGGTTGAGGGTCCTCGCATCCAGCACTGAGAGGAGGCGGAGGTGGGCTTAGGTGCGGGGGCTTGTGTCAGGGAGCCCCGTGGGGTAACCTGTCATCTGTGCCCACACGTCACCTCGCACGGGAGCCGGGTCCCTGTACGCTTGGGGTCTCACCCGGCACTGTCAGCGCATCCTTTTCTTCCTTCCGGTGCTCAGTCGTGTTGGGAGCTGAACGTTCTCACTGAGGTGTCCGTCACCTCGGAGAGACTCTCAGAAGTTACGCCCAGCTTCGCTTCCTCTGCACCGCTTCCCCCAGTTGAAGTAGTTTATAAGATCCCTAAACTCACACTTTGGTGTATCAGGGGAGCTGTTGAATGATGGACCTCTAGTTTAAAGATAAGACTTTGAACGTGAAAAATACCATTTTACGTGGAAGTAACCGTCCCTTATTGAATCTGTTTGGTGGTACCTTGTTTTTTTTGTTGTTGTTGGCAGGGGAAGGGGTGGTTAGCATACACCTGTATTGAATATTTTTTGCAATATTTCTAACAAGCTATTCCCCTCCCACCCCCTTTTAATTTTTTCAGATCACACACCCAGCTGGCTGCATGTCTCAGTTTATTAAGTTCTTTGGGGAACAGATACTCATCCTTTGGAAATTTGCCTTACTTCGAAAGCGCATTTTGATCTTTTCTCCCCCTCCAGTGGGCGTCGTGTGCTATAGAGGTAACTAGAAGCCAAAGTCAGGGACTCTTCCCAAGTTCTCTGCAACAGAAACTGCCCCAGTCTTTCCAGTGTTGACCAAGGCCAGAAGGGATTGAGCCATATCAGGGCTTCAGGGGTTTTAAGCCTGGGAGTGACACGGTTGGATTAGTATTGTAGAATGTGGACTCTGGCGGTACGGAAGATGGATCGGGTAACACATCAGTGGTCTGGTGAGGGAGAAGGGTCTGGGTTAAAGCAGAGAGGATGGATGCTTGATATGTTTAAGAGAGAAACCTGGCAAAGCCTGGCGTCTGGGTTGTGAGGTTCTGATGTATGTGACGTAACAGAGGCAGGATCCAGGATGCTGAGGACGGTGAGGCCACCGGGGGGGGACCAAGGAGGAGCAGGTGGGGGGCAGTGTGACAGTTACCTTGGACGTGACGAGTGTGTGCTGCTCTGAGGCCTTCTCGAGCGGTACTCTAGGCACTGCTACAGTTGGGTCAGGACCTTGGGGGACAGGCTGGGCCACAGAGACAGACCTGGGGGTGGCACAGAGGCCGAGCTGATAGCCGGGGGGTGGGTGCCGTCGTTTGGGGAGGATGTGAGTGAGGAGGGACGTGCCAGCGTGTAAGGTGCAGGCCTGGGAGGTGAGCCAGCGAAGGCGGAAGGCAGAGTGGGGGTTGGCGTGCAGTCAGAAGAGGGGAGGGGACCAGGAGATGCGGGGGTCGCGGTGGGTAAGAGTTCTGAGAAGGGAGAGGGTCACCAGCGCCAAATGCTAAGCAGGGCCTCGTGAGACGCAGACTGAAACATGTCCGTTGGGTTTGAGCGCCTTGGTGGAGCTGACAGCTCCGAGAAGGTGGCCGCAGGCTGGGAGGGAGGGGCCGGAGGGGCCCGGGCGGCCTCACCTCCACCGTCTCCCCGCAGTGTACTGCTGCTGCTGCCTAGCCAACGTCTCCCTGCCCGGCATCGGGGGCACCGTTCCCGAGTCCAAGCCTTTCTTCTACGTGAACGTGGCCGACATCGAGAGCCTGGAGGTAGAGGTGTCCTACGTGGCCTGTGAGTATGGGGCCCGCCCCATCCTGCCCGCACATCCCTGGCGGGGTCGCCCGGGGCCCTCCTTTTCCCGGCAGCGTCGGGCTGGTTCCCTGTAGGGCCGTCCTCCGGGGTCCTGCCGCCTGAAGCCCAGCTCCCGCAGGCACCACCGAGAAGATTTTTGAGGAGAAGCGGGAGCTGTACGACGTCTACGTGGACAACCAGAATGTGAAGACGCACCACGAGCACCTGCAGCCGCTGCTGAAGATCAACAGTGCCGACCGGGAGAAGTACCGGCGGCTCAGTGAGCAGAGGTAGCTCAGAGCCCGGGGCTGCGGCGGGGGGTGGGGGTGGGGGTGGGCTCCCGTCAAGCCCGCCTGCCGCCCCTTCCCTCTGGGCACCTTTCTGCCCCTCTGCCGGGACCCGGGGTTGAGGAAGCTCCCAGCACATACCGATGGGCAGCAGGCATGTGAGGGGAGACTCCTTTCTGGCGGCCTCTGGAATCTGTGAGGCCCGAGGAAGCGTGTTGGTATCAGTGGCGAAATAAATGGTCTCATCACCTCATCCCTATTTTATGACAGTTAGGAAAGGTGGTCACTTGAGTGGGATGACACACGGGCAGAACCAGCCCTGGACTCCAAGCCCCGTTTATCTTTGCTGCTCTCCCTGCCTTTGGACGGGGGCCAGGGTGCGTGTGTCGCTCTGGATCAGCCTCCTTCCTGAGAGGCGGTGGCCCACGCAGATGCCTGGCCGGTGACCTAGCCCATCGCTGGGGTCCTCGTAGCTGCGCCAGAGGCTGACGGGCGTCTCCTCCCCGACAGGCAGATGCTGTTGTATTCCCAGGAGGTAGAAGGAGATTATAACCCCTGTGAAGAGGACCTCTTTGTGCTGTAAGTCAGCCCAGGCGGCGGCTGTGGGCCTCCCCGTGGGTCCCTTAGCACTAACGGCTTTAGCCTGGATCCCTCCCGTGTTACCTGCTGCAGCCCAAGGATGCCCTTTATTGCCACCAAGGGCACTTAGAGCTGGGCTCCACACAGAGTCAACCTGAGCCCCAAAATGCTGTTAGGGGGACCCAGAAAAGTTAAAGCAGCAGGGGAAGGTTTTTAAGAGAAAATGGGAGTCCCCGCAGCTGTCTTCCTGTTGGGCATCTACATCCAGATGTCTGCTGCGTAGGAGCTCTGTGTGTCCCTCGGGATGCAGGGGCTTTTCATTCCATTGCTTCCTTTGCATGGAGCAGTTCCTTGAACTGAGTATTATGGGCTAATCAGAAACTTAACTCTTGAATCGAAGGACATTTCTTTCCTTCAGAGCTGTTGGTGGTCAGGGTGGGAGCCATGGCCTTTATACCTCGTAGCACTGATCCCATTCATAAGCAGCTGTGTGAAATAGTGCTCAGTGTTAAGAACAGAATTGTAATTGAACCAGAAACAATCTTCCCAGCTTCCGGCTTGGTCTTCCTACCCCGCCTCCCAGGATGGGGGTGGGGAATAGCACTTGAGTTAGAACTGTTTCTGGCTTTGATATTGGCTTTGATAATTCAACAAAGGTGCAGTACTTTGATTCTAATAAAGTGTACTTTCTAATGCATACATGCTGTTTAGCTGTAAAAGTATCTGGGAACTGAGCAGAGAAGCAGCAGACTCATCAAGGCTTGACACGGTCTATTGAATCAGACATTCCAGAGCGCCCGGAGCTGCTTTGGGCACTAGGCACCTTGCTCTGTGGAACACAGCTGAAAAGTCTAGACAGTTAATGCCTTTTCTGACTACAGTTCATATATTCATACAGTACTGTTAAGTTTGTGACATTCAAATCATGCTCTGTGCATAATTAAAAAAAGCAATCGAAAGCACACAGCTGCGTACAGATGGTGGTGAGCTGTGGCGATACCGGTACCTCCAGGCTGACTCCCCTTCCGCCTTCACTGCCCGCTCCAGCAGGGCTGGCTTCAGGTTGCCTCGTGCCCGCCGCAGCACCCCTGAGCTCCACCTTTTCTGTGTGGGTGCCTCAGGGCCTGGAGAGCCAATTCAGAGCCCTTCTCTGCCTCTAGGAAGGCTCACCTCCTGCTGCGGGCTCTACTTACCCAGCCAGGGCTTTGAAGGTGAATTTCACTTTCTCACATTAAGTCTTGACCTCAGAACTGCATTATCAGTTTTTTTGGTTTTGTCTTCTGTCCTTCTCTTCCCTTTATGACTAAGCAGAAAGAGGGGAACCAAGTTTACGGGGCCTCTCCCTGCAGCTGTGTTTAAACCCCTAGTGACCTCCCTCTCAACCGGAAAAGAAATTGTTGGCAGTCAGACCATCAGTTGCTTAGAGATTTTGCTCGTCGTACCACGGTTAACGCCAGTTTTTTGCTGACCTTAGCGGCACTTGAATAACCGTTTAACTTCTATCCTGTTTTCTTCTTTTAAAAGATAGTCTGAGATTTGAAACCATTTAAAAGTATATCAAGCAAAGCAGTGTAGTTTTGGTTCCCCACGTGCGGCTTACTTGGTGAGCTTTCGTGTCTTTTCTGCCCTCCCTTTCCCACGTCTTGTCTTGTGAATGCAGGTTTTTCCTAGAGCAAAACAATCGGATATTTCAGACTTTACTGGAGGTATCTGCCAGTCAAGACAAAACTCTGACGGCTGAGCATGCCCGGGGCATGGGTCTAGACCCTCAAGGAGACCGGAGCTTTCTCATGGACCTGCTGGAGGCCTACGGCATCGATGTCATGTTGGTCATTGACAACCCCTGTTGCCCATAGGAAGGATGAGTTCACCCAGGCCCCAGATGGCCTGATTTTTAATTAAGTTGACACAAAGGAATACTGTTTATACTTCCAACAAATGTAACTTTTGCATCGCCTTCCCTCCCTTCCTCCCTCCCAAGAGGTAAGATGAGAGCACCTTGGTTTTGTAGGTCGTTGAAAGCTACCGCCTTCAGAGCTGCCGCCGGTTTGGTCTTAGGAGTTATCAGAGCAGATTCTCTCATTGCCTTGTTGAGGGACTTGAGGAGATGGGGCAAAGGCCGCGTATCACCAGGCGCGGGCTGAGCTCTGGAAACGTGGGGCTGGACTGTTGAGAAAGTCTGTCTGGTCCTTGTCGCTTGACATATCAAGAATAAGACAGCTGTCCATCCAGTGTGGCGTTGGATGTCCACCTGCCTGAAGCAGAAGCTAGACCAGGTGGCCTTTCAAGGTTATTTTAATCAGTTCTGGGAGTCTAGTCTTGGGATCAAATCCCTTTTCCTGTTTATTAGAGTCAATCTGTGTTTTCTCTGTTCACATAGGTAAGAGACTTCAAAGAGGGACAAAGGATATTTCTGTCACCAAGTGTGAGCTTCTCTAAGGACAGATGACAGGGAGAGGTTGCTTCTCAGTCACCTGAGAGCTAAAATTGTAGAATGAAGCCTTGAAACCTTTCTCTGAGTAAGTTAATGGTGGCCACTCCACGTAATCGTCCTTTTTCTCTGAATCCCCTCCTCTTGGGGACGGGCTGGCAGATTCCTTCGGGCCGATGTTAACAAGAGTGTGTACCAGTTTGGAGCCCTGATAAACGAACTTCTCTTTAGCAGAGACGACATTTGTCGAACTGAGTAATTGGGACCAGAGAGGTACAGGTTTGTTAGAGAGCAAACGTGGCAGTCCCTCCACCCAGGAAAGTAGTTGGGAACCCTGAGAGTGAGCTCCTCTGCTTTGCTCCAGAGTGTTCTGCCCTGGGACAGCTCCTGTCAGCCCTGCCTGTTCTCTTTGGCTGGGGCATTCGGTGGATGCCAGCTTAGGTGAGACAGTCAGTCTGTTAGCCAGAGAAGCGAGCTCCTGGAGCAGCGTTTAGGTCTTTTGGGGTCTGTTTAGGATTTTGACTTGGGATCCTGGGTTGTTGGTGACAAATAACTTCTTGCCCTTCACCATTCCTGCCTGGCTCTGTTATTGGAATAGCCATCCGTATGTCCATGTCTGGGACCAAGTTCCAGCCAGGCAAATGTCCACAGAGATGACTTCCAAATAGATGGGTCACATGTCTTATCTGAAGACTAGCTTTATAGGGCTTATTGCTTTATTTAAAAATATTTTCACTGTAGCCCCTTGACATGGAATTGAAGACTAAAGAAATTCGCATGTGGAAATGCACAGACACTGATTAATCAAGGTAGCATCTTTTATGTAAGTATATAAATCACTTTGGGCATTGAATTGTAAACTGTACATTTTTCTCCCCTGTGGCTTTAGCCTTTATTTCAGTAATACATATGTTTACAAACGAAAAAAAGAATCTGTGTTTAGAAGCTGAAGCTTCACTGCCTTTTTCCTGGAAGAGTGACTGGAGAAGAAGTGGCCTTTCTAACTTGGGTCAAGTTATGGTTACTTTTATATACTTTTAGTGGTATCCGAAGGCTCAGGGCTTTCTCTGTTGGGGGTGGGTGGTCAGAAGTAGGGGCGGGCGTAAAAGGGAAGGTCAGATTCTCGTGGAGGACACAGGCAGACCCTCTTTCTGTGCAGCTGGGGAATTTGCTGGGAGAATACTCTATTTAAGCACTTCTGCTCCAGAGGCCTTCTGCGTGAGAACGCTTTTGTTTTTGTGGTATTGTAACTCCAAGCTCAGACGTGCTGATGTAAAGGTAGTAGGATGAAGATGAGATTCCTGTATCTCCCTTTGAATGGTGGGCCCAGGCTTCTGTGCTCCTTTTAGCTCCCTGCCGTCCTAGGCAGCTGTCCATCTGGCATCTCTGTGTGTCCCCCCGATGCTCACGCAGAGGTCTGGGCTGGGGGTGGCCCTGGGAGGGGTGCACCCATGAGGCAGTGCCACTCTGAGGTCATACGCACCCTGGGCTCGGCCGACCTTGAAGAGGAAACCCAAGCATTGGTTCTTCCCTGCATTGCCAGCTTCCTGCGGGGGGGCCAGGAGTCTAGTGCAGCGCCCTCTGCTGGGCCGGCCGGCGCACCGTTGCCCTGTGGTTACCCTCGTCACTGCCTGTCGTCCCCCGGGAATGCAGATGTGGCACCTCTTGCTCCCGAGGTCACAGGTCACCGTTTGAAGGCTCTCTCAGGTGGGCAGCACCCACGGCGTCGCTTGCTGCCAGGTCCCTGAGAGGGGAGTTCGTAGGTGAGGTACCAGGCAAGACTCCCTGCGCAGGGACGGCAGAAGCTCGAGGCCACACAGACCTGCTTGTGTGTCGCTGTGGAAATATTTTCTGAGAACCCCCCTGCTTTTGTTTGGAAGCTTTGGAGAATGTCCCTTTCCCTGTCCCCAGAAGGGACAGGGGTTACTGTTGCTACTGTGGCCTTCTGGAGCAGGTCGGGGGCCTCCTGTCCCTCTAGACCCTTGGACCACCCCCCTCCCTCCCCACTGTACCAGCTGGCGTGGTCCTGCTGGGGGACTTTAAGCCTGATCTAACGCCAAGCTGCGAGCCACGTCCTAACTTGGAAACACTGCTGACCTGAGACACGGGGGCTGCCAGGTCACCCCTGAGTCAAGTTAGAAGAAACTCTCGGTGGCGAGAGTCCTTGTGGGACCTAGAACCCAGGCTTGGGGTTTGTTGATGTCTGTAAGGTACGACAGAGTTCTGGTGAAATGGACTTTTCACTTATGCAGGCTGGGCAGATGGTACCATTCAGCCTTTGGGACAATGTCCAGTTGTCCTCTGGATTAGGACTCTTCAGGAGTCAGAAATGGTAGGACTTATCTTTCACCAGACCGAAAAGTATGGGCCAAATAAGAGTTTAGAATTAGCTTTGGCTTTTACTAAGCCTGAAGCACTCCGTAGGCCTGGTGTAGATCCCTGCTAGCGGAAGTGCCTGTACAGCCCCCGGTGAGTTAGGATTGCTGTGGGTCAGCAGGCATCTGTCTCCCGGAGCCATCCTTCATCCTGGCATCATATCTTCCATTTGGCTGAGGGAGGGACGCTAACTTCATTGATATAGCGATAGAAATAATTTAGCATAGGAATTTGCATTTATAACTTACCTTGTTTTGTCCCACGTGAAAATCAAGATGGGAAATTTAAGTATAGCACAGGGTGCAGATAATTCTCAGTGCCACGTGTGAAGGTTCATTTATCAGTGTAACTCCTGTATTTTAGCTAGAAGGTAAAGATAAGTGCAATCATGGCTGAATCACTGTTTTTCATTCTGGTGGTTCTGAGGATGAACTTGCTATTTGTCTTGATACACTGAAAGCCCTTCAAACGCAATAAAAAGGTAAGATTATTCACCTTTAAACCGAGGCCTTTGGGGAACCTTTTGTAAAGGGCAGTGAAGAGTTAACCTTTTAACGGCAGTTAAAGGAAGAGGCGGGGACCTCAGGGACTGTTTGTTTTGTTTTGTTTTGTTTTAAATGAAACTGCAGAGCCCAGGGAATGAGCTGAGGTGCTTCCTCCACTCCCAGGACGGATCATACTTGCAGAGGTAGAGGAGGGGGAGGGCGCTGCTGAATAGAATAAGACAGTGAACTTGCTTTGGTGTGATGACAGTTCTCCAACAGGCAAGGTTAGTATGGGGACTGGCGTGTCTCACACGGGCTTTCATCTCCCCGTTAGGTTCCTGGCTGGTGGGCTCAGACTCTGCGAAAGGGCCAGTCCTCGGGTCTTTTCCCTGAATTCCTGCTGTACTTAGTGCCCTGCAGTGAGGATCCTGCAGACCTGGGGCTCACTCCAGCAGGCCAGTCCGTCCCCTCTCATTTCAGGAAAGCCCTTTTGTGATTCAGGTAGGGGAAGAGGAGTTCAGGGCTCCTTTTACTCCCAAGTCATGGATTTTTAATATTCCATTTGTATTACCAGTATACCTCTGTTCCCCGGAGCTACTGGGGTGGAGTGCTGTGGAAAAAGGCTAACTGTGAATTTAGTTCATGTTTTTCTTATAAGAAATGGAAGTTTATTTTTATATCGATATTACTATGTGATGAATTGAGTATGCAGATGTTGGAAGGAAATTTCAAAACTATAATCCTAGAAGAAACGGGCAGTATTGCAATTTGGAAGCAGCTGAGACCCCATAAGAGTTTTGTTATTTAAATGTTTGGGTGAGTGAATAAGGACTGTCCTGTGAAATCTAACACAGCCTCTCGAGGAGATAAAGTTGACAGTCCGATGGAGGATGACAGACATTCACCAACCTTAAGTAAGATTCTTGTATGAAAGGGGGTGAATGTGATCATGCTGGAGGCAGGTGAGAGGCAGGGGTAGTTTTATAACTGGCACTTTGACTCATTTGTGGAGCTGGAACACAGGGGCCACTTGGTGAAACTGCACATTTAGAAAGGAAGTAAGAATTTTCCAGAGCTAGAGAAATGATGACGGAGAAGTAAAGCCCTGCATTCATCTCTTTAGCATTTATTCTAGAAGCTCAGCGTAGTGGGCTTTTAGAGGTAATAGGGTCTAAATTCAGAACATTTATTTAACTACCATGGAAGGCTAGGTATGAATGACCTCTGTTTGCTGTGGAATGCCTCTTTAGACTCATGGTACATGTACTTTGCTTTCTGAGGACCGCTGGGGGATGCAGGGGTGGGGTGTAGGGTATTATGAACTAGCTGGAGATGATCCACGAAATGACAAATCCACGCACGGGTCACTGAGTTCACTGGCTGTTAACATATACCATTGACGTTGGAGTGAAAACTCCTTCCTTTGGCCAAATCAAGCAAAGATAAAAGTCTCAAAACATTTTGAAGGCAGCATCAGGAAATGAGTTTCGGTCTAGCCCTCCAAGACCAGTGAGGAAAGCTGTAGATTCTGTGCTTTTGAACAGACGGGGTAGGAGACTTTAGGGGTACAGAGTAGAGGAAGAACAAAACTAACCTCCTTGTTTATCCCAAGCTTGTTGGCTAAATTTTTTATAGGTCTGAGAGAGAAACCTTTTTTGAAAAAGAAACAGTTGTAAGCCTCGGGAAAAGTTCTGTTTTTGCCAAGTTAGGATCAGCATAGTCTCCCTGTCGCCTTAAACGTCAAACCCCTACTTTGATTAATACCCCAGTGCAAGAGTTACAGCAATAAGAGAAACGGAATCTGTTTTTGTTTCAAGTGTTTACCTCATAGTATGAAATTAGTAAGACAGTTCATAGATCTCACCCTGAATATACTGCATCTGGGTGTGTTGTTCTCTCTCTTCAATGGTGATCATTTTAAAGGCCTAAAGGAAGCTGGGGTTCATCCCGAAGAGTAAATGTTTCTTGAATCGATTTTGTTCTGTGGTACAAATAACATCTGTGTGTATCATATGTGTATATATCTGAACCAAGTTGTATGCAGAGAGGTTGATATAACTATATTTACAGAAGACAGTTTTTACAATTAAAATTCACATTTTAACATGAACATGTGTGCTGCAGTCCTTCACTTGGTCCAAGAAATACGGCTTGTGGTAGGAAGCAGCAACAGCCCAGGGCACGAGCAGAATCCGTGGCGCGCAGCACTGACCTCGCTTACGGTGATGATGGAAGAAACCAGAGCTGGTGCCTGTCCTCCTTGAGGCCACGGTCTGGATACACATTCTCCAGGTAATGGAAACCGAAGTTGGAAATAACCGTCCCCGTTCCATCAGAAAAGCCAGGACTGTGCACCCTCCATCGTATCAGACAACTTCTGGAGAAGGACCCCACAGAGACCAAAGCTTTTTTGTTTCACATCTTCCTTCTACTTAAGTTTACTTTAAAACAAACATCATATACTGACACACACACACACACACACACTTTATTTTTACCCTTCTGGGGAGTGAGTTATTTTAAGGCAGTAGAGACTCAGTTCCTAACATTGTTAGCTCTGTGTTCCAAGCCAGGTTCCTACCTTCCAAGTGACATGACCACGTATTACCTATTTCCTAGGGTTGTGGGAACACAGACAGCTAAGCAGTCGCACGTGTAAAGCACTGGCACATAGTAATTACACCCATGCATACGAATTGGCCGTGGGGTTAAGCAAAAGGCTTTATACTGAACTATATTTAATATAAAATATCTGCTCTGTTTTTAATAGAAATACTCTTGGTTTTTGAGTGAAATTAGTCTGACAAAAGGTTTGTACTAAACAGGAAGGGGGGACTCGGCTTCTCCTCACACCCCTCAGCATTCCAGGTCTAGCTGACGAGGGTCTCTCATAGCTGCTGAAACATCCTGTACGTGGCCCTTATATGGAAGGACAACAGAAAGAAGGCAATAGATGGTAAGGCAACCATGTTCTCAGTAAATAGTCTGAATCAAGAAAACAAAATTTGAACTAGGACATATTTACATTTAAAAATGAATAAAAACTCATCTGAATTAAATCTCCTTCCCCAATCATATGTTCCATTATTTCTATGGAAAAATTAGAATCACTAAAACACATACATGCTGGTAGCCAAGATTCTGTGCTGGTCTGTTGCACTCTCTTATAGAACCAATGTATGCCGGATTCTCTCGGCTCATGTAGACCATATTTTCCTGCACCACAGCACCCCCTCTCCCCTCCACGGGCAGTATGGAGCAGCTGCTCCTTAGACTGCATGCTTGGACCTGCCTGCTTTTTGTTGTTTTTGCAAAAGCACAGCTTTTAACACCACTCTGAAGAACACAGAGGTAAACAGGTAAGCATTATTTTATGGGCTTTTCAGTCATGGTCTTTTCATAGCTGCTTTATAATCCTTTAAGCATTGATCTTCACTCTCCAAGGGGTTCGTGGGTGCCGGCACATGCACTGCCCTAAAACTGATCTACCCGAGGGTGAGCCAGCCAGTTCTCCTTTCCCTCTTCCCCCTTGTGCAATTTTCCTTCCTCTTTACAAAAAGAAAACCTTACGTCTCATCCAGCTTACTGTGGTGCACTGCCCTCTGGAATATAAAAACCTCAGGGGCGCCAAGGTGATTATCATGCCTAGCTACTGAATCCTTAGCAAGGTGGGTAAGTTTCTGGTTCTCGGTCTTCAGCAAACTAAAGGGGGATCTAATCAAGCTGTTGATAGGTCACTGTGATTTTTGATATGCAACTCAAGAGAACTGCATGACATTGTCGTGATAACAGAATTTTTTCTATCCCATCTGCTTACTTATGTATTTACATCTATAAGGTTAAGCCTTGTTTCACCTTAGCTGTAAATAACATGTGCTTTTGGGAGAAGACAGAATGGTGGAATAGAATGACGTGAGCTCACCTCTTCTTACGGAAACAGAATCACAACTAACTGCTGAACAACCGTTGACCAAAAAAAACCACTGGAACCTACCAGAAAAGATACCCTATATCCAAAGACAAAGAAGCAGCCACAATGAGATTGTAGGAGGGGTGCAATCGTGATAAAATCAAACCCCGTACATGCCAGGTGGGCAGCCCACAAACTGGAAGATAATTATACCACAGAACTTCTCCCACAGGAGTAAAAGTTCTGAGCCCCATGTCAGGCTCCCCAGCCTGGGGGTCTGGCAACAGGAGGAGGAGTGCCCAGAGAAGCTGGCTTTGAAGGCCCATGAGGTTTGATTGCAGGAATTCCACAGGACTGGAGGAAACAGAAACTCCACTCTTGGAAGGGCACACACAGGGTCTCATGTGCACCACGATCCAGGGAAAAAGCAGAGACCTTGTAACTTACCTGCTAGTATTGGAGGGTCTCCTGCAGAGGTGGGAGGCGGCTGTGGCTCACTGTTGGGACAAGGACACTGGCAGCAGTCGTTCTGGAGAGTATTCATTGGTATGAGCCCTCTTGGAGGCCACCATTTTCTCACCAAGACCTCGCCCCACCCAACAGCCAGTGCTAGGACGCCTCAGGCCAAACAACAACAGGGTGGGGAACACAGCCCCACCCATCAACAGGTAGGCTACTTAAAGTCCTGCTGAGAACACAGCTGCCCGATAAACACAACCCCTGACACTGGCCTTGCCCACCAGAGGGACAAGACCCAGGTCCACCCACAAGTGGGCAGGCACCAGTCCCTCCCACGAGGAAGCCTGCACAAGCCTCTTAGACAGCCTCAGCCACCAGGGGGCAGACCGCACAAGGAAGAACTACAACTCTGCAGCCTGCAGAATGGAAACCGCAGTCACAAAGTTAGACAAAATGAGATGGCAGAGGAATATGTCCCAGATGAAGGAACAAGATAAAACCCCAGAAAAACAACTAAGAGGCAGTTCACCTGAAGAATTCGTAGTAATGATAGTAAAGATGACCCAAGATCTCAGCAAAGAATGGAGGCACAAGAAGGTACAAGAAATCAAGAAGGTACAAGAAATGTTTAACAAAGAGCTAAAAGATTAAAAGAACAAATAGAGATGAACAATACAATAACTGAAATGAAAAATACACTAGAAGGAATCAATAGCAGAATAAATGAGGCAGAAGAACGAATAAGTGAACTGGAAGACAGAATGGTGGAAATCACTGCCATGGAACAAAACAAAGAGAAAAGAATGAAAAGAAATGAGGAGAATCCAGGAGACCTCTAGGACAACATTAAACACACCAACATTTGCATTATAAGGATCCCAGAAGGAGCAGAGAGAGAGAACCTGAGAAAATATTTGAAGAGATAATAGCTGAAAACTTCCCTAGTATGGGAAAGGAAACAGTCACCCAAGTCCAGGAAGCACAGAGTCCCAGGCAGGATAAACCCAAGGAGGAATATGCTGAGACACATAGCAATCAAATTGGCAAAAATTGAAGACAAAGTATTAAAAGCAACAAGGGAAAAGCAACATATAATGTACAAGGGAATTCCCATAAGGTTATCAGCTGGTTTCTCAGCAGAAACTCTGTAGGCCAGAAGGGAGTGGCACGATATACTTAAAGTGATGAAAGGGAAGAACCTACAACCAAGAATACTCTACCCCACAAGGCTCTCATTCATATTTGATGGAGAAATCAAAAGCTTTACAGACGAGCAAAAGCTAAGAGAATTCAGCACCACCAAATCAGCTTTGCAACAAATGCTAAAGGAACTCCTCTAGGCAGAAAAGAAAAGGCCACAACTAGAAACAAGACAATTATGAATGGAAAAGCTCACCAGTAAAGGCAAACATACAGAAAAGGGAGGAAATCATCTGCACACAAATATATCAAAACCAGCAACTCTAAGAAGACAGCACAAATGCAGGATATTGGAAATACATTTGAAATTAAAAGACCAACTTATAGCAGTCAGATATATAAACAAGATTGTTTTATCAAAACCTCATGGTAACTGCAAACCAAAAATCTACAATAGATACACACACAGAAAGGAAAAAGGGATCCAAACACTAAAAGTCTGTCATGAAATCACAAGAGAACAAAATAGGAAGGAGAGACATAAACAAAATGAAAAGACAACCCACAGAGTGGGAGAAAATCTCTGCAAACGATGTGACTGATAAGGGATTAATCTCCAAACAGCTCATGCGACTCAATATCAAAAAAAACAACCCAATCCAAAAATGGGTAGAAGACCTAAATAGACATTTCTCCAAAGAAGACATACAGACACATGAAAAGATGCTTAACATCACTAATTATTAGAGAAATGCAAATCAAACCTACAATGAGGTATCACCTCACACCAGTCAGAATGGCCATCATCAAAAAGTCTACAAACAATGAATGCTGGAGAGGGTGTGGAGAAAAGGGAACCCTCTTGCACTGTTCGTGGGAACGTAAACTGGTGCAGCCACTATGGAGAACAGTATGGAGGTTCATCAAAAAAACTAAAAACAGAGCTACCATATGATCCAGCAATCCCACTCCTGGGCATATTATCTGGAGAAAAACATGGTTTGAAAGGATACATGCACCCCAGTGTTCACTGCAGTGCTGTTTACAATAGCCAAGACACGGAAGCAACCTAAATGTCCATCAACAGAGGAATGCATAAAGAAAATGTGGTGCATATGTACAATGGAATGAATGAAATAATGCCATTTGCAGAAACATGGGTGGACCTGGAGATTATCATACTAAATGATATAAGTCAGAGAAAGACATATCATGTGATAGCGCTTATATGCAGAATCTAAAAAAAAATGATACAAATGAACTTATTTACAAAACAGAGACAGACTTAGAGAAGGAACTTATAGTTACTAGGGGGAAAGACGGGGAAAGATTGGGAGTTTGGGATTGACATGTACACACTGCTATATTTAAAATAGATAACCAACAAGGACCTGCTTGTATAGCACAGGGAGCTCTACTCAGTACTCTGTAATAAACTAATGGGAAAAGAATCTGAAAAAGAATAGATACATGTATACGTATAACTGAATCACTTTGCTGTACACCTGAAACTAACCTCCAATACAAAAATTTTAAAAAAACTTGAATAAACAACACAGAAAAACTGCTTTTTGATAAATGAACTCTAGGATAAAGAGCATTCTAATAAAATGTTGATTTTTTAATTATCAAAAATTTATAATATTCATCAATTGTATTTCAATAATTTATAACATTTATTCTGTACTGAGTTAACACTTGAAGAACTAAAAAAAAGTTACTTCCACTTACATTTTTTGGTGGCAAGAAGACAGGTCCAATGGAAAGAAAATTTCAAGCATAAAAACATTACATTATGATAGTATTTGCTGAAAGTGGTTTGGAGATAACCATACAAGGATAATCGACATTTTCAATGACAAAAAACTTACTTTTGTAAATGGAGGATGACTGTTAAATTGTTATGTATTTCAATTACACTGAATATGTTTAAGACAGTGATGTCAGTTTTATTTTAAAATATCAATATTTACATGACACCAGAAAGTACATACTTTGGCAACTAACTTCCATGAAAAATTTTAGCTGTCAACTTAAAACTGAGGGGATACATGATTTTTCAGAATACTTTTAGGAAATACCTAAGCAGAGTAGTGTGTGGACCGCTGCTTTACAAGACTGTGTCCTGTTCAGTTTGGGGGACACCTCTTGTAGTAGAACCACCTGGGGAAGGTGGACACCTTTTTAAAAATGCAGATTCCTGGGCTCCAGCCCCAGACTGAGTTATTAGATTTGGGTTGGGCCCCAAGTGAGTCAGTTTTCAACATGCACCCCAGGTGGTTCTCATGCAAACCAACATTTAAGAAGCACTACTTCAGGGGAAAAAACGTATTTTACAGTATTTCAGCCATGGCTGAAGAGGGAAACACCTCAGGTATGTTTTTGATTAAGGAGAGAACTGAAAGACGCTAAGAATTGGAGCTCACAGAGTAGCAGCACCCGTGGAGGAGCCTGGGGAACGGGACGAGGCCGCAGAGGGCAGGTGCTTCCCTAGACTTCCCAGGGCGGCCACAGAGCCCACCAGGAGAGGACGAGCCACTCAGCCCAGGACCCTGCTTCCCACTCAGGGGAGCGAACAAGGTCTAGCCCTTCTCCATCCACTGAGGGTGGGGATTTCCTGGAACTAGCCTGAGGAAAAGCAGTATGTGGAAGGGACGGGCTGTCACAGCAGAGTCAAAGCATGCGCTGCTGGGAAGCTGGCTGCAAAGCTGGGAAGCACTAGAGAGGAGGGTGGAGGGTACTTGCCATGAACGGGCCCTTGGGATCCTCTGACAGCGCTGCAGGGACGGGGAGGCCTTGGTTGCCTTTTGGTCCCAGGGTAGCCTAAAGTGCAGTCTCGGGCGCCCACTTGCAGCCCGCTCACTGGGCCGTGCTTTGCAGCAGCTGCTCCCTCTTCCGAGGGTCACAGAAGAACTGTAGTTTCCTGGGGAGCAGTTTCACCTGCACGGGCATCGCCTCGTATTCCTCGCTGTCGATGCTGAAGGAGCCGCCTGTTCCCTGTGGAGAAGAGAATATTCACAACAGCTCACGCCCACGCTGGCTGGAATTCGTCATCACTAGAGCACCGGAGCAGGTTGTTAGGGAAAAGGTCCTCCTCTCTGAGGCTCTGGTCTAATGTTCTTTGAAAAGAGTATTTCGGTGCCTGTGTCAGACACGGGGCTGGTTCTGGAAATAGCCCTATTCTACCACCATGAAAAAGGTTTCAGTGGCCTCTGTCTCCTCCCAGAGTATTCTGGGATTTGTGAAACAAGGTTATCATTTTCAAATGCTTACTGTAAGACAGGGTCCTGTCACGTCTTTAAGGAAGTCATAGAACATACGTGTATGTCCTCAGCCCTAATCTTTCTCAAATGAAAAGCGAGAAACACAGCCAATTCTCGGAGGAAAGCCATTACAGCCACTTGATGATTCTCATGGTTCTTTAGGACTCGCTTAGCTTTATACCTAAGGTATAGCAACATTAATATTACAGATTCTATAAAACCCTTCTGTAACTCATGCATTTAATTCAACATTTGCTGTGTTGAAACTATGGTGCCAGCCACTGGGGACACCTGCCTTTTTGAACACCTTAGTTTAAGAGCCACAGGTCTTCAGAAGCCACCTGTAGTAAGTGTTTTTCCACTTATAGGTTATTCTACTAAGCTTGGTATTTCCCAGTACAGAAAAATTTACTGCCATCCTGAAAACTGCTTCCAGATCCTTTTTTAAAAATGTGAAGCTAGGACTTCCGTGGTGGCACAGTGGTTAAGAATCTGCCTGCCAATGCAGGGGATGGGTTCAAGCCCTGGTCTGGGAAGATCCCACATGCCACAGAGCAACTAAGACCGTGTGCCACAGCTACTGAACCTGCGCTCTAGAACCCCCGAGCCACAACTACTGAGCCCCCGTGCCACAGCTACTGAAGCCCCTGCGCCTAGAGCCCATGCTCCACAACAAGAGAAGCCACTGCAGTGAGAAGCCTGTGCACCACAATGAAGAGTAGCCCCCGCTCACAGCAACTAGAGAAAGCCCGCACACAGCAACAAAGACCCAACGCAGCTAAAAATAAATAAATAAACTAAATAAATTTTTAAAAAAAAGTGAAGCCATAATCCACTATTAACATTTGCTAACTGGAGAACTTTGTGGGTATAGTATCTATCTGCATAATTTACATTCAGAAAAATAAAAGCTCGGGAGACCTAAGGGTCACTTTACAGAACCTTGGCTTGACAACACCGGAAGTCTTCAGGAGTCCAACTCTAAACCCGTGGCTCAGAAGGGGCTTCCGTCATCTTTTCAGGTCTCCCTTAATGTAGCCCAGAGCCTGGCACAGTGCTCAGCACGTATAAGGTACCTAAAAAAGGGTCTGTTTATAGGAAGGAGGGGGAAGAAAACAGGAAGAAAGACAGACCGGGAAAGAACCACAAGCTCTGGGACAGCTCACCCCCGCTCACCTCAGGAAGAAGCAAAGTGCAGCGGCTGGCCTGAAGACACTCGGTGCCGTCAGCACGCACCTTGGGGTCTCTCACCTTTTTACTTCTGTTGGTACAGGAAAAAGCAAGCTTGGAAACCAGTGCTGGCAGCTGCATTCAACTGCAAGAACATAGCAAGTTCTGCCTGTCTTTTGATGATATGAAATAGATGGACTCAAGATCTCTTGAACCATGGGGTTCTGTGAATAATTTTCCCCCCAGTGATTCTTGCTTAGTGTTGAGATCCATTCTAGTTTGAGCAGGTTTATTTACTGCAGAGAGCTGTGCTTGAAGTTAAGACTGATTTTTCTCTGAATTGTGTTTCATTTTTAAATAGTTCCATGTATACCTAATTCTTGGGCTATTTAAAAAACTCAAATTTAAAAATTGGAATGAAATGAAATTCTTTAGAAAAAAGTACTAAACTTTTGATATTTGGTACTTCTTGTGAGTCTGTTACTTAAAGGAGAAAATTTTTTATTCTAATTTAAACTAGTTATTTATAGGAACAACCAGTCTTAGTTGAATGATTCTCCATATTGATATAAACAGTCTACTTAGCACAGTGCATCTTTACTTTGACTACATGGCTTTAGAGTAGAATTATCAGCCTGTCCGCGCGCGCACACACGCACACACACACACACACACACACTCCCCCTCGTGTATATACCCTTCAGCCAGTTAGCGTCAGTGGAAAAGGGGTAAAAGCTAATCTCAGTCCATTCTTTATCATTAATTAACAAGAGTAATTCCTTCATCTATGAAACTTCATCCATTTTCTAAAGCAGCTTTACAATGTTCTTATCAGATACCCAGAGGAAACGGACATTACTTGATTTCACTTCCTGTAGAGACCAAAAGGAAACCATGTTATTTCTGCTGCTGAAGATGACGACAGCAACAACGCAGAACATAATGACTTCGTCTAATTTAAGCAGTATCACCGGTTTTTCTTCCTATTTTTGGATGTCAGTATTATGAAGGAGATTCAAATATAGCTGGTCCCACTGGCCAGACTTTCAGTTAAGACACTGTGTGGTTTGTGGACCCTTCCTAGGAGAAGAAAGACGTTTCCCTTCTTCCTTATACTACAGTTAAGTAAATCAAAGGCTGCAGAAGCAGCTATTCAGCAACTGAAGAATTGGTACCAAAGGCAAGAATAACACAAACTGATGAAAGACGTTGTACTGCCGGTGCTGGTGCAGAGAATGAAGTAGCCATGGAGACCCGGCCGCGGCAGCAGAAATGTCTGATCCTTAGATGGGCGCCAGAGGGAGCTCTGAGACAGAGCTCATAAAAAGCTGAGAAGATTCCCAGTTGGCATGGTAACACACAGCCTCCTCAGATGCTTTGAAGGCTGGCAGAGGGTTGAGAGCATCCTTAACCAATAAAATTCTGGCAGAGGTAGGGCTTAATAAATCAGACAGGACCTGGAAGGGTATTTTGTAGTGGAAAAGGGAAAGAAGCCTGGAAAATGTCCAAGGTACTCAACACCTTTCCATCAATGCCCTGGGAAGAGGGCAAGGTGGGCTGACATGAATGCTAACGGATGCTGTGAAGTGCTTCACACTGAAAAAGAGTTTTCCCACACAGTCCCTTGTATGAGACTCAAGAACAATCCTGATGGAGGTGATTCTACCACACCATTCTATACACAGGGAAGAGGATTCAGAGAAGGTGAAGGGTTTGTCCAAGTCATAAGGCCAGTGAGTAGCAAAATCAAGATTTGTACCCAGTAGTTCCGACCCTGAAGCCAAAATTCTGGGCATGATACCACACTACCCTGAATCCTGTCACTTCGGTCGAAAGACAAAGATGGCTCCCATGCTCTGATCTTCCCGAAATGAATGGGGGAGGCCAAGCAGGAGAGGTGCACTACACATGCCAGCTCAGATGACAAGGGGGTGCTGTGGTTCCCAGAGCAGACAAGTCCTCGGTTGGATCTCCTCTTGGAGCGCATGGGCACTCAGATTGGTGAGTCTGAACACAAACTACTTAAAGCCTCACAGCCTGCAAACCCCCGTCCACTTACCCTATAGTTATGAAGTCTCCTTTGCTGACCGTGTTGGGTTCCATGCAGATATTCATAAAGTCTTCTTTGCTCTAAAAAGGTTAGAAAACGAAAATTAATGCTCTAAATTTTGGCTCATGCAGCCTGTTGCCCATAAACCTTAGAGGGTCGCGGTTGGAGCTGCGTATTACGGAGGGGACTTTACTTTCAATGACTTTATCCTGAATATTATCCTCAGTCCTTTATTTTTACATTAAGACCTTTATTGAAGTGGTATTTACATACCATAAAATCCATCTCTATTGCTTGCTTGTTTTTTTACTACATACATAAGCTAGGGAAACACTCAGGCTTGGAGGGTTGTCAGGTTCTGTCACTCACTAATAATCGTAGCTATTACAGTCTCTAGGGCCCCCTCCCTGGCAGGCCAAGCTTTCAGCCCCTCTCTCCCAGCAAGTCTCCACCCTCACTGTACGTCGTCATCATGCCACACTGGCTGGACCAGCTTCTTGATGTGGAGAGCCCCCAAGTATCTGTGTTTTTTTTAAATGCTCTACATGCAAACTTGGTATGTGACCAGAGTTGAAGAGCAGCAATCCTTTTATGCCACGGCAATGTTTTTAAAACTCTACATTCCCAACCACAGAACGTTCTGGAAGAATTGAGCTACAAGGAAGTGGCTACAAAAACAGACTTGGTTTCCGTGCCACTCCCCACCCTCCCCCCGTCTCCCCACAATTTACCACCAGTTGGTGGCTAGCAGTACAAACCTGGCCCTCTGTAAATCAATCCCAACACTTCTGTGTCTGCTTCAAATAGAGGTTTGTTTATTTTTGGACAGCTTCAAAATCTGTAGCCCCAGGATCACCCCCAGGCCTCTGAGAGCTGACAGCCTGTGCCTGAGATTAAAGGGCACTATCAAAGCACAACTTTACACCTCAACATAGAGGAATGACTCTGCTCCAGGGTCACCTTTTGTTAAATGACTTATTGTCACCTATGTACCATGAACTCTTCTAAGTGCCAGGGTTGTGTCAATGAATGAAAAAAACAATTTCTGCCTACAAAGAACTTACATTCTACCGGAGAGAGTGGAAGGGATAAACAAAACACAACCATGATAAAATAATAAACTTCATGTATATTAGAAGTATGTTAGCGTATATCCGTATAAAAATAGTAAATTGTGGACTGTGTATGTATATTAGCATAAACGGCAAATTATAGAGTATATTAGAAGTATTACAGTATATTATAAAAATGAGATAAAAGGTGGTATTGGTGGCATTTTCAGTATATGTGCTACCGAAGCAAGCACGATTGGTGGCGTTTTTAAAGAGGGGTCCAGGTAGGCCTCACTGGCAAGGTAACCTCTGAGCAGACACCTGAAGGAGGTGAGGGCATTGTGGAAATCCAGGGCAAACTCTAGCAAACGTCACCTGGAGGGCCTGTTAAAACACAGGTCAGAGCTTATGGTTCAGTAGATCTAGAGCGAGTCCCAAGGATCTTCATTTCTAACAAGGTCCCAAGCGATGCTACTGCTGCAGACCCAAGGCCCACACTTTGAGAACCACCGGTCTAGGGACGCGCAGGCCCCACAAAGGGCACTGCCAGGGCAGGGGCCTTAGGTGGGAGCGGGCCTGACATGGGAAAGAACAGCGAGGAGGCCAGTATGGCTGGAGCAGAGTGAGAAAAGGGGATGAGAGGAGATGGAATCAGAGGGTTCAGGCACTGCAGCAGTAGGGCCTTGTGCACCCCTACGAGGAAGTTGGCCGTTAGGCTGAGTGAAGTGTGGAGCCACTGGAAGGTTCTAAGCAGAGAAATATGATTTGGCTTTTTTTTAATCAGGGTCTCTCTGGCTACTGTGTTTAAAGGAGGAGAAAAGGGGCAAGGGCGGGGAGACCCCTTAGGAGCATATTGTAATAATCGGGCTGAAAGACGATGGTGGCAAGGGCGGGGAGACCCCTTAGGAACATATTGTAATAATCGGACTGAAAGACGATGGGGCAAGGGCGGGGAGACCCCTTAGGAGCACATTGTAATAATCGGGCTGAAAGACGATGGTGGCTTGGACCAGCTGGCAGCGGACACTGAGATGCGCTGGCAGTATTTAGAAGGTGAAGCCGCCAGGACTTCCTCTGAGATCTGATGCCACGAGAAAGAGGAGCCAGATGTTTGGCCTGAACAATGAAAAGGGTGGAATTACAATCGACTGCGCTGCAGGAAGATGGAGGAGAAGGCAGGTTTCGGGGGTGGAAGGGAAGACCAGTAGCTCAGTTTTGGACATACCAAGACTGAAATGTATCTTAGACATGGAAGGGGCTAAGTAGATATACATGCAAGTCAAGGATTTGACTTTTGTTGAGAGTGCAAGTGCGAAAATCAATGTGTTATGCTACAATGACAGGTTCAGCGAGAAAAAGCCTTATCTCAGTAGTGGCTGGAAAGGTACTTGATAAAATTAAAGATCCACTCATGATAAAAACTCTGAGCAAAGTAGGATAGGAGTGGAAGGGGACTTCCTTAATCTGATAAAGGGTATCTACAAAAAACCCCATCAAACTCAAGAATGAAGCAGTGAAGCCTTTCTCTCTCAATCAGGAATGAGACAGGGATGCCTGCCATCACTGCTTCTGTTCAACACTGTACCGAGGCCCTAGCCTATGCAATAAGACAAAAGATTAGAAGAAGGTTAAGTATTTGAAAGGAAAAAATCATATCAACTGCACTATTTGCAGTTGATATGACTGAATCTATAGAAGATCTAAAAGAATCCATAAACTTAACATAACAATTGTTAGGTTGCTGATGCAGCATCAATATAAAAAATCATTACATGTCCATCAACTAAATCAGATAGTTAAAAAAATAACAATTTAAGAGATAACTGTTTACAACAGTATCAAAAATTAAGATAACTAGGAATCTACCCAGCAAGACAAAATCTTATAGAGAAAACTGTAAAACTTCATTGAAAGACATTAAAAACCTAAATAAATGAAGATACGCCGTATGCATATGATAGAAGAGTCAATATTGTAGAAATGTCATTTCTCCGCAGATTGATCTACAGGTTCAATGTAATGCTGAGCAATATTATAACAGATTTCTATGCGGAACTTAATAAACATTCTAAAGGATTTATAGAAGTCGGAGAACCAAGAACAGCCAAGAGACTCTTTAAGAAGAAAAACGTAGAAGGACTTACTATAAAACCATAGTAATTAAGAGAAACATAGTATTAGTACAAATATAGAAAAATAGAGCAAAAGAATAGACTAGAAACATCTCCATGTATACAGATACTTGACGTGTGACAGAGGTTTACTGCAGATCAGTGGGGTGTGGGGGGGAAGGACATTTCAATAAATGGTGCTTGGACAACTGGCTTTCTATATAGAAAGAATATAAAACTGGAGCCTTACCTCCATCATTCACAAAACTCAATTATAGGTGGGAGTACCTCTTTTTTAAGTAAATATGAAATCATTTGCTGCAAATCACGTTAACCTGGTTTTTCATTTAAAAAGATACAATGAACATCTTCCCATGTCAATAAATAGAGAACATTTTAAATACATGTACCAAAATGTATTTCTCATCAGTGGCCTGATTAGTTTGTTTCACATATTTTGCTATTATAAATACAGTGAACATAGCTCTACAAGAGATCCTAATTTTCAAGCATTCCACACCCCTCAGGCCTCTTTCAGACTCTGAATGGACTTTTTTTTAATGATAAATGAACATTTTGAGCTATTACATGGCAGCTTCACTGTCTTTGAATATTTTATTGCATTTGCTTTTATTTTTACAAAGAGGATAGAAAAAAAATGAATGTGCTGCTGCTGCTAGTGATAAGCAGCACAGGATCATATATTTTTATAATTGTCACAAAGATAAAAAGCTCTCGGCACTCTGAATGGGGCTAATCTCGAGCCACGATCACATACATACTCACTGAACTCAATCCATTCATTGGTATTCAGTCATCAGAGCGAAGAACAAGGTTAAAGAACATGAACAAAACACTGGAAGTACATATCATCAGAGATTGAGTATAAAGGAAATGTATAATTAGAAATCTTATCTTTCTTTTTAAGATTCCTCTTTTTAACAGAGTATTTTTTTAACCTTAATACATTCACTTTCACCAACATTTTCAGACTCTCTACATTATGTATCATCTGATTATTTCTGAAGGATAAATTTCTAGAAATATGCTTAATAGGGCCAAGGGTATGCTTACATTTCAGATGCTTAATATATACTGCCAAAATGCCTTGGAGAAAAAGTGTTCCGATTTCCCTTTCCCTCAGGAAAACCTGACAGCCCGTTTCCCTGTCCACACCAACAGTGAACACTAGCAGGCTTTTTAATCTATGGCAATTCAATATTTAATATTTTAATTTGTATTTCTTTGATACTGAGCACTTTTTCTGTTTCTTTACCTGTGAAATTCAGATAGAAGTTATATCTACCTGATAGTGTAGTTATGAGGATTACATGAGCTGACACTGTGTAAAATTCTTAGGACAGTGCTTATCATGTAGTAAATATAAGCGATTGTTTTCATGTTTATTTCCTTTGTGAATTTCTAATTATGCGGCCTGCCTGTTGTTTATATTAGTCCTTTGCCCACTTCTTATTGATTATCCTAACAGTTAAGTATAAAGGAAAGCTATTAACTCCTGGTATATCACATCCTAATATTTTTCCCAATTTGTCATTAAAACAAATTTTTTTAAAGGTTGATAAATTTTAAAGGAAATCTAAAAATGAGTATCATTAAAATTTTTGTTTATAGTTTCTTTTTTATTAGAAGTAAATGCATCAATATGATTTTTGGTTAGATGCCAGTCTTGGAAAGGCCTTGTCCTCCCAAGTTTATATTGATAATCACTTAAGATTTCACTCTAGTGTTTTGTTTTGTTTTTTAATGCAAACAAAACACCGCGGGCCTCTCACTGTTGTGGCCTCTCCCATTGCGGAGCACAGGCTCCAGACGCACAGGCTCAGCGGCCATGGCTCACCGGCCCAGCCGCTCCGCGGCATGTGGGATCTTCCCGGACCGGGGCACGAACCCACGTCCCCTGCATCGGCAGGCGGGCTCTCAACCACTGCGCCACCAGGGAAGCCCTCTAGTGTTTTTAATAGTTTAATTTTCTTACATTTAACCTTTTAATCCAACCAGAATCAATTCAGAAGGTGAAAAGAGCTATGTGATCCAAATGTTATACAATGGACATGCATTACCTTTATAATTAAAAAGCAATCCAATACTCTGAATATTAATATTGAAATCAAACTTCTCACTACACTTGTCCCCCTCATTCATCTTACTACATTCATATGTTCAACTCCATGTGCCAGTTTTCAGACTGACCAGGTTAGTTGTGAACATACTACTTGATTCACATAAAAGCTGAACATGATATTAGTCCATGGTTAAGGATAGCTTTCCTACTGGCATTCTCATTAACATAAACTACTAAAGTTTTCTCTAGACCAGGGGTCAGTAAACCCTTACTGTGAATGGCCAGATAGTAAGTGTTTTAGGCTTTGGGGCCATTCAGTCTCTGTCACAACAACTCAGCTCTGCCGCTGCCACATGAGTGGCCACAGACAACATGGGTATGGATGAATACGGCTATGTTCCAATAAAACTTTACTTGTGGATGTTGAAACTTGAATTTCGTATACTTTTACCCATCACAAAATATAATCCTTCTTTTGACTTTACTCTATCCATTTAAAAACGTAAAATCAATTCTCAGCTTGCAGTCTATAGTAAAACAGGTGGCAGACCAGTTTGCTAACCTCTGCTTTATTTCAAAAACTTTTTAGCGTATTATCTACATCAGTACTATCCAGGAGAGCTTTTTGCACTATGGAAGTGTTTTATATTTGTGCCTTTCAATAGGGTCGCTACTAGCTACATACGGTTATTGAGCGCTTGTCATGTGGCACAAGTAATAAGTTTTAAATTTTATTTGTATTAATTTAAATTTAAGCAGCTACCTGTGACTAGTGGCTACCATACATACTGGTCAGTGCATGTCAACAGATTGGACTCAATATGTAAAATAGAGATGTTTGTGTGTATACATATATACATCTATATAAATGTAGATGTATATATGGTTTTCTCTCCTAGAGGCCTAAATCTACATATTTAATATAGTCACAAAAATAATGGCTATTTACTCAAGTAAAAGTTCCACACAGTTTTATTCCTGTGGCGGATGGGATTAGGCTAACTCATCTCTAAAGGCCTTTTGCCCTCAGTTCTCTCAGGCAGAAGGCTTGGCGACAGATGCTCGATCAGAGCCCCTTAAGCTTTTAGGCACTTCACTCGCTGTTTCTTCTCACTGCTTATTCCTCAAAGGCACCCCACATCCTCCTGCCCTGATCCTTCCCTCTCCATCCCCACAGGGTAAAAATAAAAAAGTTAGTGGAAGAGCATGTAGCCTTTGTCACTTTTTCCCAAATGCTTTTCTACTTAAAAAAAAAAAAAAAAAAAAAAGGCACACTTACTGCCAGGTCAAGCTGACTGTTCCGGGTCGTGATGGACAGTTCAAGGGTGGACAGCTGCACTTCTTTCCAGACCTCTGGGCTCACCTCTTGGGGGGCTGTGTGAATGCATTCGATACAGGTCAGTGTCTCCCATGAACATCTCAGCACCACCACCACGGCCAGCTACCAGTGGCTCAGATGGCCTCCCGAGCCCATCTGCTGACCGCCCCCCCCAACCCTGCTTAGTTTTCTTTATCTCATACTTTTGATACACAGGTTAAAGGGCCAGGCTCAAAATGGAATCTCTATGCCTGAGACATCCCTATAAAAGTAGCCACAATAACATAAAGGTTGGTGACAGAAAGAGGGAGTCACTGAGAGTCACAACTGACACAGGCTGTTCCCATTGATGGGACACTGCTGCTGCCGTTTGGGGCCTGCAGCTGTGCACACAGAGGGCTGAGTTCAGTGATGCTGGAAAGGCTTCCCCTGCTCTAGGAGAGTCAAACACTGAGGTGGGGTCTGCTTCAGGCAGGCCTGAGCTGACCAGGGCTTTCCAATCGTCAGTCCCCACGCTGCTCACCGTCCTGCGGCTGTACCCAGTAGGATGCGAGCCTTCGTAATATTCTCCTGTACAAAGAGGGCCGTGGAGGGGTCTCTTCTGCTCCACTGGGAGGTCGCTCCGCAGGTCCCGTGTATGAGAGAGAGGCTTGATGAGTCTGAGGCCACTCCTTTCAACGTAAAGAGACAAAAACCTTTATCGTGCAGCACGATTCCAAACTCTTGGGGTTTCTCTCTACAAAGGATAGTATTCCACCCATATCTGCTTGAAAGCTAACTAGTAATCTCCTCTCATGGGATGAAATTATCTCTAATTTGGAGTGTGGAATCCTCAAGCTTTCTTTTCCTATTGAAGGCCTATAGGAACCCAGTGACTGCGGCCTCCATTGCTCTCCTGACACAGAGCAGAGAGGAGATCAAAGTGGACCAGCAACCAACCACTGCTTACACTTGTCCAAGAAAACCTCAGTATGAACACGCGCAGAGTCATCCGATACTTTGACTTAGAGACGGTGACACAAACATGAAATCCAGTTGTATCACATACCTTCTTCGCTTCTGTCATCATATTCCACTCAGAGACCAGGCTGGTTTAGTCCAGCCTCGAAATCCAGCCCAAGGCCTCTCATTCCTGCTTCAAAGGCCATCACTCTCAACTCTAGATTTGTCTTCTTCCTGGCACCGAGTCCAGTGCCATCCTGGGTCCCATCAGTGTCCCCAGGGATGATGAAAACAACACCCTAGCCTCTCAGCCCTTGACGTCACCTCTAACCCACCACAGCCACCGATTTCCATGGCCACGTCCCGGTCCTTAGCGGTACCCGGAGCCACTCCATCTTAGAAATCTAAAGCCCTGATATCCTACCATCTAATCACTTCCCATATTCTTTTGTGCCCAGTGGCTCTTAGGGTGAACTGCTCCCTTGTTCTCCTGTTTCCATGGGGTGAATTACAAAAGAGTAACAGTTCCAACTCCTCTCACTCCACCTCTTACTCCTTCCCAAGTCCAGAAAGACCCAACCCCTTCTCTTCTCACTCTGGAAGTGGCCGTCCTGCGGACTCAGGCGTCCACTGCTTCCTCACGCAGTGAGCTTACTTAGCAGTCTCTGCCCCGAAGGAGATGTTTTAAGTGGATAAATTCAATCTGGAGTGTTAGGAAATCAGATTGTGACCGCGTATCCAAGCTGTGTCCTTCACTCCTGCTGACATTTATAAAGCTGGCATGTTGATTTCCATATGCTTTGTTCCTGCATTTGGTTAGTCAGAGGAGGAAGAGAGGGGTGTGATGTGGGGGCCCGTGGAGACCCTAACCACACCAAGCTCTCAGTCGCACTGAGAATCCCAGCCCCTGACCACGCCATTTGTCCTCAGGCCAACCAGATGAACAGTGGGTTACTTTACAGCACTCTCTTTTCCCATTGCTTTTGGCCCTCGTGTCTTCTTTCTTCCATAATGTTTGCCCTGAAAAGCCCCTATTCTTAATCAATCTGTCACTAGGTGTCTGTACTTCTACATCGTGGCTCAATATTATTAGAAGGGGAAATAAAACACTCCTGCTGAGTACTGACACAGGGAAAACAATCACCCAAACGAGCATATCCACGTCAACAAATTCTTGGTCTAAGGTTGTCTATGCCACTTGATAATCCTTCTAAACCTATTTTCATCTTGCTTCAAAACTCCCCGTACTACCATCACCGTCACCACCACCACCACCATCACCATCACCACCATCACCATCATCACCATCACCACCACCACCACCTCACTTTCAAAAGATCACTTGCTTCCTGCACTTCAGTGAGAATATCAAGACATCAGTGAGAACCGCCTTACCTCTTTATAAATATGTTTTCATCTGTACCTCTCCTTTATTTCTCTCCTGTCTCAAGGAAAAAGGCGTCCCTCCCCCGTCCAAGGCTAGTCCAGGACTCTGGATCCCACTCCCTTCCATGCGCTCATGGAACTAGCTGAGTCAGTCATGCTTTTTGTGTCCTTTCTCTCTTCTCCTCCCATTCTTTTTCACTTCTGCTTCAGGAAATAAAGACACAGATATCTCTCCAATTAAAAAAAACAGAACACTCCAGTGGCCCCATATTTTTCACTAGCTTTTGTCTTTTTATGTCCTTCTTTTCAGAGTCGAGATCCTTGAGGGAGTGGCTCTACTGCCTCTACTTTTTGCTCCCATTTACCCCTGACCTTTCTTCAGTGCGGCTTCAGCTCTTCCACCCACAGGCTACTGAACCTTCAGAGGGCACTCACTTGCCTGCCTCTATTTAGACTCTGCCGTTGCTTCTTGAAATCTCACTCTCTTCTTGAAATTCTCTCTTCCATCGGCTTCTATGTCGGTACTTCCTCCTGGAGTCTCTCTTGGCGGTTCCCAGGCACCGTCTCTGCCTCTTTAAATGAAGGCTGTTCCTGGCCATCTATTCTCGACAGTAACTTTATCAAATCCATAGCTCAATGCCACTCATACACTTATGACATTTACATCTATTTCTTTAGCTCAGATCTCTCTGAATTCCAGACCGAAGTCACGACTGTATCGCCACCTGTCTGCACCACAGTATGTTAAGCTCAGTGTGTGCCAAACTGAAAATTTCATCTTTCTTCACAAACTTCATTCTACTCTAATATTATCAGCATTAAGGGAAAACTCTAGTTACCAAACTCCAGTCCCTCAAACCAGAAATCTGGGACTACTACAAGCTCCTTCCAACTTCTGAGGGCTGTACCTCTTTAATCCATCCTCTGTGGTCAATATTCACTGTTACCATCTTATCTCCTTTCAACTGGATTACGTTAACAATCTTCTACCTGATGCCTTTGCCTTAAACTACCCGTGTCCAATCTCCTGCCCACACTGTTGCCAAACAATTTTTCTAGAGGCAAAATCTGCTCTTGCCACTCCCCTGCTTAAGACTCAATAACCCTCTAGTGCTTTAGTGATAAATGTCAGATCCCACATCAAAACCTGCCAAAAGTGGTCCTGACCTGACCCTCAAAGTCCCCTTCCCGCCATGCTACTGCATTGGCCATAATTAAAGACCGTGTTACACCACTGTGACTTCACACATCCTCACCGCTCCACTTGGAATGCCATTTATCTAGTCCTGTATGTATTTCAAAATCTGGCAAAAGTGTCACCTTCCCTGGGCTGACTTTACCAACCTTCAGTCAGGGGTAAAGGCCCCTCCTCTCTGCTTCCATCTTATTCTCTCCATATTTCTCTCTTAGCACTTGCCAAACTGCTGATTTACCTGGACCTCACCCCCAGCACTTGAATACCTGGACCTCACCCCCAGCACTTGAATACCTGGACCTCACCCCCAGCACTTGAATACTTCTTGAGGGCAGGAAACCTGTCTTATTTGACTTTGCATTCCAAATATATAGCAGGGCTTGCCACACAACAGGTATGCAGTAATTGTTTGCTGAAGAAATGATGGAAACAGTTTACATGCTCCCAGATTCTACAACTTAAATATGTAGTTACTCTATTTCTTCCTGAATGCAATCCCTACTCCACCAATGTAATTATCCCCTCAATCAACAGCAGTCATGCATTTTACTCACACAATTTGCCTTAGGTATAGAAAGTCCTTGGTGCCCCTCAAGTTCATTTTAATAATCGTGTAGATTGGTCACCCCTAGTACTTTAATGGTTTTGTTATCCATCTGGAATTTATTTAGAAGGTAAAGGGAGCTATGTTTTCCAAACATTTTGCAATGGACATATATTACTTTTGTAATTCGAAAAACACTCGATACTCTGAATGTTAACATTAAAACCAAACTTTTCACTACATTCAAACTTCATCTGCCAATTTTCAGATTGGTCGAATTGCAAATATACTACCTTGATTTGCGTAAAAGTGGAACACAGTATATAGTACACAGATTAAGTGTGACTTTCCTATTAGCATTTTCATTAATATGCATTGTTGAGCTGTTCTCTATGCCAGTATTTTTCACTGTATAGTCTACAGCAGCATGGCCCGATAGAACTTTCTCTGATGATGGCAACTGTCTCTATACCTGTGCTGTCCAATACAGCAACCACTACCCACATCTGGCTAGTTTGAAAAAGCACAGTTGGAAGCACGAAGCATAGTTTGAAACCTCCTATATTATACACAAGCCTGTATGATTAGATACACAACTTCAGTTCATTTCCAGATGCTAATATAGACACACCTGCAAATAGTTAATGAGATACAGGTCATTGTGTTCAAGGTTTGTCTGGTAAGAGTGAGTAAATGAATAGACAAAGGGAAGTAAAATATAAAATGAAATGAAATCTGGGCTTGGTAATGGAGAGGGTAAGTTGGTAGATGAGAGGAATCACAACAGGAATGCTTTCTGCATTTGTATATAAGTAAATATGCCCCATTTCAGTGCCGGAGCACGCTATATACATCTGTAGCAAGAAATTTTTAAGGGTTCCAAATACACACATCACAGAGGAACAACAAAATACCAGAAGTCAAGCTTCTACACTGTAAACTGTATTTACCTTAAGAGTGCTGAAAAAGTGGGCTACTTTGGTCTTCAGAGGCCCAAGATACCAGTACCTGAGAAAGAACGAGATAAAAATGTAATTAGAATATTAAAAGAACTGTCAATGTGCTAGATACCATTCATGACGGATAATGCATTAGAATTACACCTTTACCATGAGTGTCTGCTCTGGAGGCTTGGAGACTGGTTTAGTATTTTAAAAAAGTATTGCAGTTAAGTTTTTAATCTGCATTTGAATACCATGTCAAACCGTACATAATTAGTTATACAGCAGCTAGATCCTTGCAATCTACAAGGGATATATAATCAGAGTCTCCTTGAATCTCTAAATTCACAGGTATCACCATAATATATACTTTCCACCATGGAATACAGTTGAGTATACATTCCAAATGAGTGGAGAGGGATAAAGCCACAATGAGACGCAGTTGCTGGGTGCTGATGTATTACTCATGAGCTAAATGGCTGCATTCTGTACACCGTGTTCTCTCTCACACACAAACATACAATTAAAATCTGTAAATCAGCATAATTTCGCATTACTTATGTTATGCAGCTTGAAAATGGCAAATGTGAAATCTGGGAATGAAGAGGGTCTGCTTCATATTGCTAAATACCTAAAAGCTACTGAAGAGAAAAAGATGCCTAGTTGGAATTAGGAAAGTGGCGTAAAGTAGATTTCTCTCTTAAAACTCATCTCTGTCACCTACCAGCCCATCTTAACTGCTCCCCATTTGTTTTGGATCAATATGTATTTATTTAGCACTTACTATGTATATGGAGGAAACGAAGCAATATAAAGAATATAAAATTCTTGCCTTTGAGGGTTCCTAATTTGAGAAAATAAGGCCCCCCAAAGTAACAGAAAACAACAAATAAATAAACATTTACATGACATGGTATAAACTGATCACGATTCATTGGTAAGGAGAGTCAAGAAGGCACAAGAAATCACTAAGGGCCTAAAATCACCGAAGCAGCCAAATTTGCATAATGAATGACACAAGAACAAAGTAAGGGCATGAGACCTAGAAACATGGGTTGGATTTAGATACATAAAAGAGGGAAGGAGATCATTCTAGGCAGAAGGAGTAGTAAAAGTACGGGAAACACTGAGAGTAATAGCCAGGGCAAAAGCTTTATTTAAAGCAAAGATACACAACTCTGTAGTTAGGGGTGCTGACGGATTAAGTTGGGCCTTGAATGCCCAAATAAGGAGTTTAGCTATCCAACGAGCAATGCGGAACCACTCTATTACCCAGGTAAGTACCGCGATGCTATTCATGAGGGCTTGGACCAACTAATTTTTTTGTTTTTGTTCTTTTGTTTCAAAGGTTACTCAATGATTTGCTTCTTTTCCCAGTTAGCCAGACAGAAACACATCCCATCCAAGGCAGTTTATTTCTACACTGCCTGCAGTTCCCTCCATCTGTATCAATAGCAAGTTCTGACACTGCGCTTGCAGTCTTCCCGAGGCCAGCTAGGAATTGGTTTCTCGCATCCCGATTGTTTCTCTCATGACACACAGAGCGACTCAGTGCGCGGTCCTAGTCCAGGTATAACAACAACCAGAATTTTAAAATTCACTGCTCAGAAATCAAACAGAATGTGGGCCCGCGTGTGATATTCCTAAAGGGCTGACCTATGCTTGTGCTCAATACATTTAGAAAGCAATTTGCTGTCATCAGATTTTCTCAGGGGAAACCAAGCAATTCCTCTTGGTAAATTGCTGGCATTTGAGATTACAGATCAGACACAAAGATAACTTGTGGAATCAAGATAACCACGGCATACTTGCAAATAAAAGCTGTGAAATATTAAAGAACACAGTGTGTGATATAACGTAGTGATATCTCTCTTTTGACAGTCCACTGTCAGGAACTTCATTAGCAGGAATAACCAGTGAAACAAAAGAGAGACATTTCTGTAGGCACCTCCCTGGCAGTCCAATGGTTAAAAGACTTCACCTTCCAATGCAGGGGGTGCGGGTTCGATCGCTGGTCGGGGAACTAAGATCCCACAGGCCACACGGCCAAAAAAAACAAAACATAAAACAGGAGCAATATTATAACAAAAATTCAATAAAGTTAAAAATGGTCCACATCAAAAAAAACCCCAAAACTTAGAAATTTCTGTAAAGAAAATAAGCAGGAATGCCTACAGTGTGAAAGGGGTTTCTTGATAAAAGCTGTGTGTGAGATCAATCCTAATTCATTTAAACCATACTAAAATTGTAAGCCCGTTTTCAAGAAGAGGTAAAGAAAAACTAAAACGCCCACCAGCGAGGAGGGAACCTCACGCCGCGTCTGCTCAGCCCCACCACAGGAAGCCCTGCCCAAGCAGCCTCTCCCTGCAACAGAACAGGACACACCCTCTTTCCGAGCCAGGAGCCTATTCTACACGATGAATTCTCCAAAAATAAGCCCGCTCGCATGAAAAGCCAGCAGCGGCCCTCTAATCACCTCCTCCACAGGCCTGTTTCTTTCATCTCCCAACATAGCCAGGCATCTGCCTTTCTTCCTCCTCTGAAAGAGGTGGCCTGGGCTCTGTGGATCTGCTAGGCTTTCAGAAAGAACACCTCTCGTCGGGGGGTCTTCCAACCAGGGTTGTGAAAGCTCCACGAGGCTGTGGCCCCAGCGGTGCCTCTGACTTCGTACCCAGCTAAGGAGGCCGCAGGAGGAGAGGCCATCCAGTGCCCCTCCGGGCTAGCGTGGCCTCACCCACGCTCAAATACGACGTCTAGAAAGAAAGATGCACGCTGCTCGTCTTGATCTTCCGCCAAGCTAGCGTGGAGGAAACCGGAACTCTCTGCAGCCTCTCTGCACGTAAGAACTTAAACCTCTACCTCTGTTATTCACACATAATTCAACCGCACTAACTCCTAGATCACTACATATTGAAACCGCAAAGACAGGGACAGAATAAGAAGGTGTCTTAAAATCACCACACGTTAATACAGTGCCCCTTTACTTGCTAACTGAGACGCCAGCATCTCGGAAGGATCCCCATCGGAGGCCGGTCAGTGCAAACACTGGCTGTTCCTTTTCACCCTGGAAGTTAAACACATTTAATTTAAATTAATGACGACAATAACTTGGAACTCTCTACAGGTAAGTAACCAGCAAACGTTCATGGCCTACGTTTCATCAAACCAAAATTCTAAATGGAATGTTCCAAATTTAAGAAATTAATTCTGTGAGTGCTCAAAGTACTTAAATAAACTGTCCTGTAAAATGAAGCTAACTTTTGTGTATCAGCCCTCATGAATCCGCTGGCAAGAAAACACAGTATCATACTTCAGACTGTCATCATTAGGCTGATTCTTGGACCAGTTAGTCGGGTCAGCCAGAATTTCTTCTCTCTCTTCTGCTTGTCCAAGGCAAAGATAATTTAAGCCTGCGTTCTCTTTGGAGGGCCAAGAGCTATCAAGGAAGATCAGCGTCCTGGTATGTACTCCAGAATGTTTCACTTGGATATCTGAAAATACAGCCAGATATCTGTCATAACAAATCGGGATGAAAAGTGACTTGGATTGAGTCCAGTGCTTTATGGCCAAATACTGCATATTATAATCAGCAATTACAATTGCTGAGTGAGTTTATTTAGCAATATATAGAAAACACACAATTGAGCCACTGCCTTCAAGAGTTTACACTTCCTGATGGGCTTTCCTATATGAAAATATATACAACAGGATTCTGAAAGGGACTTTCCCGGTAGCTCAGAATTGCAGCTAAAGCCCAAGGGTACCCACATTCTAAAGACAGCTGCCAAATGCCAGACACAACTCCACAGAATTTGCTAAACAGGCACAGAACCAGCTCGGTTTCCACCATGCCATCATTAGAACCAGTGTAAGCAGAAGATTAGGAACTGGAGGAGAATCCTTGGCACTGTAAGTTGTTGGCCTAGAGAAAGCGTCTAAGTCTTCTTAGGAGAGGTAGTCCTTCCCCGCTCAGTCCCACTTTCACTCCTGTTCCCGCTACCCTGAAACAAGTGAGGGTTTTCTAGGCAAATCATACATGAATAGGGCCAGCCTACCAGTAAAAGACACTGGCCTCTCATTCCTTGGTTGTGTATCTGTTGAAGCAGATTTCCTTTTCTGCTCTCTCCACCTGCTTAAGCAACAGAAGAAGGAGCTAGAGGGAAATGGCAGAGCAAAGAGGTGATGGTAAGGTAACCCACTACTGGCACAGCAAGGATGTATTAGTCTCCTGGGTGCCTAGTGCATACTGTGGAAGACAGCAGGGCTTGAGCCATCCTGACTATACTAAGCTAATCATTCATTCATTCTTTTTTTTTTCATGAATCATCATTAACGAATATATATTATATATTAGGAACTAGTGATAAAAAAATGTCCTCAAAGAGCTCAAGGTATAATAGAGGGTAGAAAGACACAGACAATAACAACACAATGCAGTAGGTTCAAAGAACAGAGATGTGTATCAAGTATTATGAAAGTACAGAGCAGGTGCAACTGTACAGTGAGTGAGGGAGCCAAGGAGATGGATGGTCAGGGAAAACACAATGTAAGTTTTAAGACAAACCATAAATTTTAAAGAATAAGGTAAAATCTGAACAGACTGATTACTAGTAAGGAGACTGAATCAGTAGGAACCTCTCAACAAACAAAAGTCCAGGACCAGACAGTTTTACTGGTAGATTTTACCAAACATTCAAAGGAGAATTAATACCAATCCTTTTCATACTCTTCCAAAAAACAGAAGAGGAAGGAATTCTTCCAAACTGGTTTTTTGAGGCCAGCATTACCCTGATACCAAAACCAGACAAGGACAAATACAAGAAAACAAAATTAAAGGCCAATATTCCTGATGAACATAGATGCAAAAACCCTCAACAAAATATTAGCAAACCAAACTCAACCATACATTAAAAGGATGAGACACCATAAATCAAGTAAGACTTATTCCACGGATGCAAGGATGGTTCAACATCTTCAAATCAGTCAGTATGATATGCTACATCAACAAAGTGAAGGATGAAAATCATATGATCATTTCACTAGATGCAGAAAAAGTATGTGATAAACTTCAACACTGATTTATGATAAAAACTCTCAACAAAGTGGGTATAGAGGGAACATACCTCAACATAATAAAAGGCCATATATGACAAGACCATAGCTTACATCCTACTCAACAGTAAAAAGCCTTTCCTCTAAGATCTTGAACAAGAAAGATGCCTACCCTTACCACTTTTATTCAACATAGTATTGGAAGTGTTAGAGCAATTAGGTAAGAAAAAGAAAGGCATCCAAATTGGAAAGGAAGAAGTAAAACTGTCATGACTTACAGATGACATGACAGAACTAATGAATTCAGGAAAGTTGCAGGATACAAAATCAATACGCAATAATCTGTGGCATTTCTATACACTAATAACAAACTATCAGAAAGAGAAATAAAGAAAACAATCCCATTTACAATTGCATCAAAAAGAATAAAATATCTAGGAGTAAATTTAACCAAGGAGGTGAAATTGAAAACTACAAGACATTAATGAAAGAAATTGAAAATGAGATGATATTCTATGCTCCTGGATTGGAAAAATTAATGATGTTCAAATGTCCATACTACCAAAAGCAATCTACAGATTCACTGCAATCCCTACCAAAATTCCAAAGACATTTTTCGAAGACATAGAACATATAATCCTAAAATTTGTATGGACCCACAAAGAAACCCCAAACAGCCAAAGCAATCCTGAGAAAGAAGAACAAAGCTGGAGGTATCACACTCCCTGATTTCAAACTATATTACAAAGCTATAGTGATTAAAACTGCATGGTACTGTCATAAAAACAGACACATAAATCGACAGAACAAAGAGCCCAGAAATAAACCCACACATATATGGTAAATTAATTTATGACAAAGGAACCAAGAATACACAATGGGGAAAGGACAGTCTCTTCAATAAATGATGCTAGGCAAACTGGACAGTCACATGCAAAAGAATGAAACTGGACCACTATATTACACCACATAAAAAGATTAATTCAAAATGGATTAAAGACTTCAGTATAAGATCTAAAACAATAAAACTCCTAGAAGAAAACATATGGGGTAAGCTTCCTGACATAAGTCTTGGCAATGATTTTTAATCTGACACCAAAAGCAAAAGCAACTAAAGCAAAAATAAATAAGTGGGGCTACATCATACTAAAAACCTTCTGTTCAGCAAAGGAAACCATCAATAAAATAAAAAGGCAACCTACTGAATGGGAGAAAATGTTTGCAAATCATATATCTGATAAGGGGTTAATATCCAAAATATATAAAGAACTCATATAACTCAACAGAAAACAAACAAACAAAAAAAAGCAATCCACTTGAAAAATGGGCAAAGCATAGAAACAGACATACTGATGCCCAGCATCATTAATCATCAGAGAAAGGCAAATGAAAACCACAATGAGATAACACTTCACACCTATTAGAATGGCTATCATCCAAAAGACAAGAAAAAACAAGCGTTGTTGAGAATATGGAGAAAAGGGAAACTTTGGGCATGCTGGTGGGAATGTAAATTGGTGCAGCCACTATGGAAAACAGGATGGAAGTTCCTCAAAGAATTAAAAATAGAGCTACCATGTGATCCAGCAATTCCACTTCTAGGTATTTATCCAAAGAAAACACAAACGTTAACTCAAAAGATATATGCAACAGACACCGCAGAAATACAAAGCATCGTAAGAGACTACTACAAGCAACTCTATGCCAATATAAAATGGACAACCTGGAAGAAATGCACAAATTCTTAGAAAGGTATAACCTTCCAAGACTGAACCAGGAAGAAATAGAAAATATGAACAGACCAATCACAAGTAATGAAATTGAAACTGTGATTAAAAATCTTCCAATAAACAAAAGTCCAGGAGCAGATGGCTTCACAGGTGAATTCTGTCAAACATTTAGAGAAGAGCTAACACCCATCCTTCTCAAACTCTTCCAAAAAATTGCAGAGGAGGGAACACTCCCAAACTCATTCTATGAGGCTACCATCACCCTGATACCAAAACTAGACAAATATACTACAAAAAAAGAAAATGACAGACCAATATCACTGATGAATATAGATACAAAAGTCCTCAACAAACTACTACAAACAGAATCCAACAACACATTAAAAGGATCATACACCATGATCAAGTGGGATTTATCCCAGGGATGCAAGGATTCTTCAATATATGCAAATCAAGCAATGTGATACACCATATTAACAAACTGAAGAATAAAAACCATATGATCATCTCAATAGATGGAGAAAAAGCTTCTGACAAAATTCAACACCCATTTATGATAAAAACTCTCCAGAAAGTGGGCATAGAGGGAACCTACCTCAACATAATAAAGGCCATATATGACAAACCCACAGCCAATATCATTCTCAATGGTGAAAAGCTGAAAGCATTCCCTCTAAGATCAGGAACAAGCCACTATTATTCATCATAGTTTTGGAAGTCCTAGCTATGGCATTCAGAGAAGAAAAAGAATAAAAGGAATACAAATTGGAAAAGAAGTAAAACTGTCACTGTTTGCAGATGACATGATACTATACATAGAGAATCCTAAAGATGTCACCAGAAAACTACTAGAGCTAATCAATGAATTTGGTAAAGTTGCAGGATACAAAATTAACGCACAGAAATCCCTTGCATTCCTATACACTAACAATGAAAGATCAGAAAGAGGAATTAAGGAAACACTCCCATTCACCATTGCAACCAAAAGAATAAAACACCTAGGAATAAACCTGCCTAAGGAGGTAAAAGACCTGTACTCAGAAAACTATAAGACACTGATGAAAGAAATCAAAGATGACACAAGCAGATGGAGAGACATACCACGTTCTTGGATTGGAAGAATCAATATTGTGAAAATGACTATACTACCCAAAGCAATCTACAGATTCAATGCAATCCCTATCAAATTACCAGTGGCATTTTTTACAGAACTAGACCAAAAAATCTTAAAATTTGTATGGAGACACAAAAGACCCCGAATAGCCAAAGCAGTCTTGAGGGA